CCCCAGAGTCCTGTCCTGAGGTTTGTCAGGACAGCTGTGGCCCAGAGGGGCAGCTGCTTCCCTGCCCTGCGCCTGCCCAGGGGCGGCCTTCCCCCCTACGGGCGCCGTGGTCAGACGCAGAGCCGCTGTCCCAGGGGCGGCTCTACCTGGCCCAGGTGAACGGGTCACAGAGGTAAACAGCTGGCCACCACGCTGTCAAGGAGAAGCTCCCAGCACACTCACACCGCTCAGGACCCAGCGAAAGCTGTTTGTGAAGGGGGGGGGGGGGCGCGGCAGAGATGAGCCCTGGGCCCAGCACAGCTGCCCCCGAGGTCAGTGGGTGCACAGGGTTCCACAGGCCCCAGGCAAGGCCCCAGCAGGACGGCTCTCCCTGAGCTGCCCTTGGGGACAGGGCCAGGAAAAGCAGCCGTGTGGAGCTGGAACCTGCTCCGGTCGGCTCTGCCCAGGGCCCACTGCGACCCTCGCCACTGCTCACTCCCAGGCTGGAACGCCCCTGGGGGGGTGGGAAGCCGGGGCTGCGTGCAGGCCCACTCAGAGCTGTGAGGGTATGGGCGGGCGCGGAGGGGGGGGGGGCGTGGAGCAGCAGAAGGATCTGCCAGAAGCCACAGAGCGGCTTCCTCTGGAGAGGAAGAGGGGGCTGCCCAGACGTCCCCAGCCCACAGCTGCCACCCAGGGGACAGAGAAGGAATGCAATGGGGGTCCCTGCCAAGGAAGGGCTGCAGCCTAGGCGCCGGCCACTTTGGGAGGTGAGGAGAGGCCACAACTATGCGACCCACTGCCAAGCTGCCAAGTGGTGGCAGCCGCCCCTGCCCCATGTGGGAGGCACCCAGCTGAGGGGCAGGGAACAGCTTAGCCTTGACCCACGTGTCTGCTGAGCATAGACTCTGGACGCTGGACACTGGCCGGGAGGCGCCCCTGCCGCTGCGCGGCCCACCCCACCTACCGGCGCTGCGCGATGTCCTATTAAGGACATACCAGCGGGGTCTGCGCCGAGAGAGCGCCCGCCGGCCTCTTCCCTAGGCGCCGAGACCGCGGGGACAAGCGAGGCGGGCGGGGGACTGCGCTCCGCCTGGGCCGCGATGGGGACAGCCACTGCGGACACGGTGTCACAGACCAGGCTGTCAGGCTGGAGGACCTGCCAGGGCCGGTGGCGCCGTACCTTTGTACCTCTCCCGCACCTCCTCGTAGGCCTGGATGAAATCCTGCTCGTCAGGTGGCGGGCCAAGCGGCAGCAGGGCGGCCATGCCGGCGGGCGCGGGACGCGGCGGGGCGCTGCGGCGGGGAGGGAGCCTCTCTCTAGCCCCGGGCAGCCACTCTGTCCCTGCGGCCGCGAGCGCCACTTAAAGGAGCCGCCCCCGCCCCGCCCCGCACCCAGGATGCCCCACGGGAGGGGCGGGGCGGGGCCGGGGCTGGCTGGCCTTGGGGAGCTTCGGCCGCACGTCCCGGCGCGTCCTGGAGTGGGCTCGGCTGGAGCGGGCTCCGCGGGTCGCGCGTCTGTGTTCCACCGCGCACGCCAGCGAGCGCACTCCACGTCCCTCCCCCGACCGGGTCGCGGGCCGCCAACAGCCTGAGTTCTTCGCGTCTGGCTCCCAGCTCCGCAGCAGCCCCCTCCCTCGCCAACCCCGACCTCTCCGGGGACCCAGTCGGATCCAGCGACCTCACCTGGCCGCCCCCGGGCGCGCCCCTCCCTCCTCCCTAGAATGCTTCCCTTGCAGCCTGGGAGCCAGAGTTAGTATTATCAACACAAAAAGGACTCTTAAGACAAAAAGGAAAAAGTTTATGCACTATAACGGGACTGAAATAGGGACTTTTCAGGAACAATAAAATGGCACAAATAAAAGCCATTCTTTAGGGAGACTAAATGGTAATGGAAAAATATAATAAAGATTATATAAAAAACAACAAAACAAAACAAAACAAAAGAAAAGCCATTCTTTTGGACCCGTCAAACTGGAAGGACCCTTCTCTGGGCACTGGCAAATGTCCTTCTGCCTAGAACGCCCCCCCCCCCCCCGCGGCCACCCCCCCCCCATTCCTCTCTGACCTTCTGCGCCGCATACCCGTGGCCAGGGCCCCTCTTCCAGGGGTCAGTACCAGGAAAGCCGGCAGGCTGGCACAAAGGCTCTGCTGTGGGCCCGAGCAGCCCAGCCCAGAGCCCACTGCGGGGCAGGGTGACCAGGAGGAAGGCCAGGGCTCGGAAGGACATTCCTGTTGCTTCCATGCGGAGAAATGGCCGCTTTTAAAATCCACATGTGATGGGGGGGGGGGGTCCTGGGAAGGGCCCCGCCCACGCGGCCCCAGGGGTGGGGATGGGTGGCAAGCCTTCACCCCGTCCTGCTGTCCTGCTCCTCTGAGTTTCCCCCCACCAAGTCCGGCACTGCCCACAGCACGTCCTTGCTCCGCAGCCGGCTGGCCGGCTGGCCTCTCCCCGCAGGCCTCAGGCGACCCCCCCCCCCCCCGGCCTCCGGCCTCCACAGGGGCCGGTCTGCCCTCCAGGCACCTCGCCTTCGTCCAGTCCTAGTGGTGGTGGGGTCAGCATTCAGCCTGGGCACAAAAACCCTCAATGGGATGCTCCCTTGCCCGGCACATCCTGGGGTGGCATCCAGCCCTAGGTCACCGGCTTCCCAAAGGGACAGGCTGCTGTCCACCTGCCAGCCCTGCACTGTTGGAGGCCTCTCCCCGGCCTTCCCCACCCTACTCCCCAGAAAGGCAACTGCTGGAGAGCGAGACTCTGGCGCAGGGAGGGGCCAGGGCTCTCGCCAACCGGGTGGGCCCTCCTGAGCTGCTCCTAGGTGCTTCCCCCGCACCCATGGTGGCAGCCAAGACCAGGGGGCCTGGAAGGCAGCTCTGCCCCAGGAGCCCAAGACAGTACCACCATGGCATTTGGGCACTGGGCCCTTTCCTGAGGCCCGGGCCAGTGCCACCACAGCAAGCGCTAACGCAGGCCTCAGGCAGCAGGCAGAGTGGGGCCAGCAGGTGGCGCTGTGCCGCCTGCCCTCAGCCAGGACGGGCAGAGGCCCTCTCTGACCCGCAGAGGTCTCACCTCTCCTCCCAGTCCTACACCTGCCCGGCGCACGCAGCAGCAGCTGGGTCCACCCGCTCCTGACTGCAAAGTGAAAGACAATGCCCTTCCGCATTACCTGCAATTCGGATGACTGCCCGCTCAGCAGGGTCCAAGACGCCGCCATTGCCCCCAGAGCCGCTTCCACTCCTCCGGCTCCGCTGCGTCTTCCCCAGGTTCCAGGGCAGCGTGTCCCCGGGGCTGGGCGAGCTGCTGCCTCCGCCGGAGCTGTCCTCAGCCGCCGCCCGCACCTCCTGGTCCTCACCCGACATGGCTTCCTGGGGAGGGAGCAGGAGGGGGTCACGTCTCTGGGGGGCTGCACACTGGCCCGTCACCTTCTTAACCTAGACGTTGGCCCCACCCACCCACCCTATCAGCTGAACACTGATGCCCACCCACCTCCTGAGTTCCACCTCATGCACCTACTGGCCACCCACCCTCTGCACCCAGACGCGGACGACCCTCCCCCCCCACCCAAGCTGGCCTCACCCTCTCCAGACCATCCCTCAGACACCACACAGTGACCCCCCCCCAAGCACTGACCCCACTCACCCCAGTCTATCACTGGGACATTGACTACCCCCCCATTGTTGCCCCTCCCTTCTCTTAGTCACCCAAACACTGAGCCCTCTGTGCTGTCACCCATGGGCTCACTCCATCAGAGCACACAGACCCCACCCTCCACCCCCAGCACCCCAAACCTGGACCCTGTCTCCTCTAGTCCTCTGATCATCCCTGACCGCTGCCCCTCCCCTCCAGGACCCTAAGCCCATCCCCCGGACCATGGCGCTGTACCTCCAACCTATCTCAGCCTCTAGGACTCCCAGGGCCCAGCCCCAGCCCCGCGCAGTCCCACCGTGGTCTCCGCAGTGCACGCCTATAAATAGCCGGAGCCGCAGTGCCGTGGGCCGCACCAGCCCGCTGCGGCAAGGCTGGGAGCCCGGGCCGCCGCTCCAGCAGCCCACTCTGAGTGCGCACACACACGCACCGCCGGCGCCGCCAGAGCGCACGCACACCCACTCGTGCACACTCCTCAGCTACCCATCCCCAAGAGCGCTGGCGTGCGGGAGGTGAATGGAGCTCTGTCCCGGCGGGGGTGGGGTGCCGTGGGGGCACAATGTGGGCTCTGTGCCTCGGCCCTCAAGCTAAGGGCTGGGAAGGAGACAGGGGGCACCGACCTGGGGGCCACTCCGCCCCGCCTTCCACAGCCTCCTCCACCCCCTTTGCTTCAGCCCCCCGCCCGGCGCCCTGCGGCCAGCCGATCCTCCCCAACGATCTTTCCTGCCCACACCCCGGGCACCGCCCGACCAGTTCCGCAGTCTCCGGCCCTCAGAGGTGGTGTCCTCCGGAGGCAGGACGGGCCGCGACGCAGCCCCTCGTTACTGAACGCCTGCGGACGGATAGCTCCCAGCCCACCCCGAAGCACCCGCACACCGCGCGCCTCTCCATCCCGCCCCAGTCATACGTGCCTGGTGGCTCAGCTCGGCTAGGCTCGGCCGCCGCAGCCAGACTGCTTGCACCCGGAGAACCGCGGAGGCGACGCAGGCGGGGCGAACCCGGAGCCCCGCCCCGGCTCCAAACCGAGCGCCGCCCGTAGGATCCGGGCGCCCGAGTGCGTGAGGGCCAGGGGCTCACGGAAGCGGCGGGGCTGGAGCACTAGTGTGGCTCCACCTCAGCGCTCCCACCGCGCACCCCCCCTATCGCCAGCCCCGCCCCGCCCCCTCCCGGCGCGTTCAGGGCGGGTCGGTCGGCAAGGAGACTTTGTTGGGGGCGCGTGCTTGACACTAAGGCTACGTGGGGTCGCTCGGGTGCGCGCTGGGTCGGGCCTCGGCGGGCGGCCCAGGACCTCCCCAAAGGGTCATTGGGGTCTGCCCTTTGGCCCCTGCCACAGGCCACGCCGAAGTCCCTCCCGCCTTGCAACACAGGTCGGACTCCGAGCTCCAGCAGGTTCCTCCACCCGGTTTCTCGTTTATTCAAATTACAGCGTCGCGCTCGGGCAAAGTCCGGCCTCGGCGGGCGGGGTCCGGCCATCCGCCCTCCGCCTGGGCTCTGCTGACCCCTGGTGGTTGGGTCGGCCGCTGAGGGGACCGCGCCCCTGCCCTCCTAGTCGCCCCGCGGGTCGCTGCTCCGCAACGGGAGGAAGGCGCGCAGCAGGAGGCGGGAGCTCAGGCAGCGGAGGGATCTGTGAGGCTGTGTGGGGATGGAGCCGCAGCCCGGGGAGCAGGAGGCCAGAGACAGGGCCGAGGGGGCCTCTCGGGTCAGGTGGCCGGGGAGTGGGCCAAAGGTCCGGAGGGGTTCCCAGAGGGGGCCCGGGGTATGTGCTCGCACGTGATGAGGTGGGTGGGCAGCGCCTGGGTGTCATGAAAGATGACGAAGATGCTGGGCTGGCGGAGGCAGTCCACGGCGCTGTCGTAACGCGGGAGCACGTGGCCCGGGGCCCGCTGAGGGGGCGCCCGCAGCTCGCGGTTCCCCAGGCCGTAGTCGCCGGTCAGCACCCGCGCCACAAACACTGCCTTGTGGCCGTCGGCATTGGGGGGCGAGTAGCGGTTTTGCACCGACAGGGAAGCGCGCTTGGCGAAGTACACGCCCTTCCCGTACAGCGTGCCTGTGGGCGGGACAGGCTGGGGTCAGAGTCGCGCAGGGCCGCAGAGCCCGCGCCTCTGCCCTACCCAGGCCTCACCGTTGAGGCCGCAGAAGCTGCGATTGAAGCCGTACACGCAGATGTCTGGGACGGCGGCCGCCGACGTGCCGTGGTACAGGACGTGCTCGACCGGGCGCCGCTCGCAGCGCTGCTCCAGGCGTTCTCGGTGCAGCTCGTACTGCTGCTGCAGCAGCGGGTGCAGCACGCGTTCCACCTGCCGGGAGATGACAGGGCGGTTTGCACACCTCCCCCCGCCCCCCGGGTCTCGGGCCGACGGGACCGCGCTGAGCCAGGAAATCAAGAGCCCCGTGTGGAGGTCAGGGCCTGGGGAGACGGCACAGCTCCGATCGTGCTCTGTCTAGCGGCAGACATTAGGCGGACATTAGCGACCTCGATGGGGCTCCTAGTGGCACTGGAGGGCTCCCAGGGGGGCCTGCAGGTGAGCAAACCCAGCCGCTCACGGGATCTCGGCATCCACAGCCAGGCCTCTGTACAGACAAGCTGAGCCAGGTGCCCACTCTGCCCGCAGGGCTTCGCTCCCAACACCAACAGACACACCTGGACACTCTGTGCTGGGGAGACCAGGTGACCAGCCAAACAGTCAGCGGTGGACCAGCTTCTGGGACTCACACAGAGGTTCTAAAGAAATTCTAACTAGTCTCTGCAGAGGGGATGCAGAAGAATGTTATGTCCATTAAACAAGACTTTCTAACGTGAAAAAGAAATACTCCGAAAATTAGCAAGTTCCTACCTTAAGAATGGAATTGGTGAACAATTAACTTTAAAATACATAAAAAAAATTTTTAGCCCTGGTCGGTGTGGCTCAGTAGATTAAGTGCCATCCTGTGAACCAAAGGGTCACCAGTTCAATTCCCAGTCAGGGCACACGCCTGGGTTGCAGGCCAGGTCCCCAATTGGGGGCACGTGAGAGGCAACAACACATGATGTTTCTCTCCCTCTCTTTCTCCCTCCCTTCCCCCTGTCTCTAAAAATAAATACATAAAATCTTTTTTAAAATAATAAAAAATAGTTTAAAAAATTTAAAGAACTTATACAAGTCCACACCAGGAAAACAAACAATCAAATTAAAGATGGGCAAAGGACCTGAACAGACACTTCTCCAAGGAAGACATACAGAGGGCCCATAGACATATGAAACGATACTCAGCATCACTAGCCATCACAGAGAGGCAAATTCAAACCACAATGAGCCCTGCTGGTGTGGCTCAATGAACTGAGTGCAGGCCAGTGAATCAAAGGGTTGTCGGTTCAATTCCCAGACAGGGCACATGCCTGGGTTGCAGGCCAGATTCCACAGTAGGGGACGCACAAGAGGTAATCACACATTGATGTTTCTCTACCTCTTTCTCCCTTCCCCTCTCTAAAAATAAATAAATAAATAAAATTAAAAAAAATAAGCCACAGTGAGATACCACTTTACACCAGTCAGAGTGGCCATCATAAACAAATAAATAAACAAGTGCTAATGAATGCGGAGAAAAGAGTACACTGTTGGTGGGAATGCAGACTGGTGCAGCCATTGTGGAAAACAGTATGGAATTTCCTTAAAAAAAACTAAAAATGGAACTGTCTTTTGACCCAGCAATTTCACTGCTGGAATTATACCCTAAGAACCCTGAAACACCAATTCAGAAGAACCTATGCACCCCAGTGTTCACAGCAGCACAATTTACAATGGCCAAGTGCTGGAAGCAACCTAAGTGCCCATCAGTAAATGAGTGGATCAAAAAACTATGGTACATGTACACAATGGAATACTACGCAGCAGAAAGAAGCAGTTCCTACCCTTCTCAATAGCATGGATGGAACTGGAGAGTATTATGCTAAGTGATATAAGCCAGGTGGTGGAAGACAAATACCATATGATCTCACCTATAAGTGGAACCTAATCAACAAAACAAACAAGTGAGCAAAATAAAACCAGAGACATGGAAATAAAGAACAAACTGACGGTGGCCAGTAGGGAAGGGGATGGGGACAACGGGGGAAAGAAGGAGAAGGGTCAAGTCGAGGAACACGCATAAAGGACCCAGGGACAAGGACAATGGGGGGGTGATTGAATGTAGGGGGTGGGCAGGGCAGGGGAGAGCAATAGCGAAAAAAATGGGGACAACTATAATTGAACAACGATTAAAAAAACTTTAAATTTGTTTAAAAGAATGAAATTGCTGAATCAAATCTATTATTCGGGTAGGCCAAATAATAGGATTGTGGAAATGGAGTTCAGGAGGGACCCAGAGCTAAAGAAAAAAGACCGAGACTGCGAGAGGACAGGTGGGAGAGGAACTGTGTGACAGGAACTCCACTGGGACAGGGCAGAAGGTGACAGGAGCAAGGGAGGCACTGACAGAAGACAGTTTCCCTGAGCCCAAGGTGGCATCTTCGGGTGGAAAGGATCCCTGAGATCACAAGGACCGTGGGGAGTGACGCATCCCTGGCACCTGCCGGCCAGAAGACGTCAACCTTCAAAGCGAAAGACTACTAACGCCCACGTGCACACCAACGTCAACGCAGAAATGGAAAAAAGAACAGGAAGTCTCGCATTCTTACACCGGGCCACTCGCCGCCAACACTGGGTGCTAAGAGACCATTGAGAACTTTTTTTTTAACTTTCCAAGAGCAAAAAATTTTAAAGAGAAAAGAAAAAGAGCAATATCATTCCAAGACCTGGAGGAAGACGTATTTGGACCCTGAACACTACACCCAGCCAGACTGTGAACAGTGAGGACAAAATCGGGACACGTGAAGATAGGCAAGAACCAGCCGTGATCAATTAAGTTGATAGAAACGTCTTGAGTAAACACGTAACTTTTGTTTGAAAAAGAATAGTTGACACCATTATCAAGTTATAGTTGCAAATTAACCCTAATTGTAAAAGGCAAACTACATTAAAAGTCCAATATGGCTACTGCCCACTGAAGGAGATACTTCTACTGAACAGAAAAAAGATCTGTGCAAGAGGCTGACCGGGGGGCATGAATGGCGACCCAGCGGCCAAGCCCAGCACGGAAAAAAATGGGGAAAGTGAGAAGAATTAAGAGCCGTTAGTTCCTGAACCCTGGAATATCCTCTTTCGTGTAACCCAGTTTTAATCACCGGGATTCCATTTCCCCGTGGTCCCTATGGTTCGATGGTGTATATTTCCATTATCACTGTCCGTCCATCAACCTCCCGTCCAAGGACGGAGCTCTGTGGTGGCCACAGAATGGGACGAAGCCCACGTGCCCACCTCGACAGCAGAACGAAGAGGACGTGACCGGCCACGTGTGAGAGGGAGGATGGAGGAGAAAAGAGAGTGGAAGGCAGGCCATCCCTTCCTTCCACCCAGGAAGGTGAGCAACAGTTTCCAAAGCTCAGTGCAGGGGAAACACTCAAGTGCACCCTCCAGAGCCAGACGGTGCTGCTGGGAAGACTCAAAGTGCGAGTAACTGACAACGCCGGCCGGGGAGCCGGGGGTGTGACTGCCATCACGGCCCTCCTCTCCCACAGTGCGGACAGGACAGCTGCTAGGTCCAGGGATGGAGGAAAATGCTCGGTCCGAAGCTTATCAGTCACCTCCAGGAAAGCGGTGGTGGCGGGTGGTGGCGGACGGTGGTGGAGAACAGGACAGGCCTGGGGAAGGCCAGAGGTTCTGCCTTTCTAACCAGCTCCAGGTTGCCGGGGCTGCTGGGCCTACCCACAACTTTTCGCATCGAGAGCCAAGCATTCGCCTGGCACCACTAGCACAAGGAACCAGCTCTCATTGACCCTTCCCTCTGGCCCTCTGCAAGCCCTGCCTGTAAGAACGCAGCCCTGCTCTCTGCTCCTGGCACCCCCGTCCCCTTCCTTCCTTTCACAGCCAGCTCATTTCAGACCGGTTCCTGCCCTCACCTTCCAGTCCCTCCTCATCCGCCAGCCCAGCTTCAGCTCCAGACAGCTGAGCAGCCGGCAGAGCCTCCTCCCCACTCCTTTCCTCTGGCCACGAAGATGTTCTGGACCTCCTTGCCCTCCAACTCCCCTCCCCGCCTCAAGGGTCCCTTCTCAGCCTCTCCTCCCTGCACTCCTGGGGTTTCACTCTGGCTCCCACCCGTCGGTCCCAGCCTTTCGTGAGGCACCCTCGTGCTCGGAGTTGCCACACTTAGCAAGTAAAACACAGGAGGCAGCTGTGGCGCTGCAGCCAGCCCTCCTGCTGGAGCCCACTGACCGTGGGAGTCAGGAGAACCACCGGCCAGCACGTGCAGTCCCCACAACAGCCGTGAGATGGCGTCCCCGCCCCGTGCTCCAGATGAGGAAACAACACTGAGACAGTCACACCCTCACCCTCGTGTAAGTGGCAAAGCAGAAACTTGCTCAAACCTTTCAAACCCCGGGACCCCCAACCTCTAAGCCCTCGTCTCCCCAACCCAGACTTTGTGAACACCCTCTGGGCAGGGACCAGGGGGTACTCCCCGCTCCCCACCCCCAGCTTCCAGTCTGCCTCACACCAGGCAGCTCCGGGCCAGCTGACCCTGACAGGCAAGATTGACAGCCCACAGGCTCTGCAAGATGAAAACAGTCCCACGAGCCCAGGAGGCCAAGAGGCTGAGGAGACCGAGCCTGGACTCACCCGGATGATGCGGATCCTTCTGTGGAAAGTGTCCAGGGTATCGTAGAAGGCCTGCACCACCGCCTGGAACTCCTGGCTGCTCTCCGCCAGACACTCCAGCCTGCCCAAGGGCCCCTTCAGCCTCTGCGGTGGCACTGACACAGGGGAGAAAGAGGACCTAGGCCATGCCTGGGGCTGGGGGTCCCTGAGAGCTGGCGAACTCCACCCTCCCCCAGTCCCAGGTGCCAACTCACGGGTGGTGCTCGAAGCCTCCAAGGCCAAACTTGGATCCCAGGGGCCGGCCAGCAGTGCTGCCAAGTGGCGGGCCGCACAGACGGGCTGGACCCCAAAGCCACGGAGGACAGCACAGTCATTCTGAAGGGCAACACTCACGCCGTGGCACCGCTCCAGGCGGGCACACAGTTCTGCGGGCAGCATGTGGCCCCGAAGCCCCACTGTCTCCTCTCGGAGGTGCACCTCCAAGGCAGCCCCCAAGGCCCGGTCCAGCTCATCCAAGTCCTGCTCAAAGGCCACATGCACCGCCAGCTGGGCCTGGCCCCCCGTGCCCCCACCCTCCAGTGTGGTTGGCTCCAGCAGGGAGATGGCCAGTGCTTTCTGCAGTGCAGCAGCCTCCTCCTGCTCAGCCACCTGGTCTTGCGGCTCCAGTGACCGGTGGAGAGCCAGCTGCAGTGCGGCTTCCTCCTCCAGCTGCCCAGGTGCCCCGGTGCCTGGGGCTGGGAGCTCCTCCTCGAACCTAGGTGCAGGCTCCTCCTCTGGCTGCTCCTCAGGCTCCTCCTCCCAGGGCTCCGGGGATGGCCTGCCCTCCCTGTCCAGGCCCTCCAGGGTGGCCAGCCGCTCTCGAACCTTCTCTGGGGACAGAGAGGGTCACTAGGTAAAGGGTCAAGCCCAGCCAGGGTGGGGCTGCAGGATAGGAAGTGTCAGAGAATGGATGAAGATGGGGGTGTTAGGAGGTATGGGATCACCAGACAGTAGGAGTGAAGAGCAGGGCAGAGGATGAGGTCAAGAAAGGGCCACAACACCAGGTCCCCAGTAGGGGTGCTTAAGAAGCAACCACACATTGATGTTTCCATCTCTTTCTCCCTCCCTTCCTCTCTTTAAAAATAAATAAATAAAATCTTTTAAAAGGGAGGGGGCACAGCATATGCTGGGTATCCCCAGGGAGCCCTACCCAGGCTCAGATTCTCCTGGTCACTGCCTGTGCTCTCCGGGGGCCACAGAGAGTGGGGCTGGCCAGGGAGGGCCTGGAGGGCCTCGGGAAGGTCCACCTGCCAGGAGAGAATGTTAGGGTCCACTGGGCCCACGCCGCTCCCAGGCCTCTGAGCAGCAGCGGGGGAGGCACCAGGCTGAGGTGTGAGGAAGGGGAGGCGCGGGGGCAGGCTCCAACTCTACCTGTGCAGAGTCTATGTCCAGGCGCTCTGTCCCAAAGACACACTGGAACTGAGCCTCCAGCTCCTGGAGAAGGTGCTGCCCCTCGGGGCCCAGCAGGAACTGGGCACTGCCTGGGTGCTTCAGGCTCAGCGCGTGGCAGCTCAGGCTGCCCAGCAGACTTTGCAGAAACTCCTGGGCTGCCTGGCATGGGGCCTGGGCTCCACAGAGCTGCAGGACCATTGGGGTGGGGGGCAGTTCACAGGTTCAGGGCATAAGAAAGGTACCCAGAGCCCCCAGCAAATGGGGCCAAAGGTGAGGAATCCTCAAAGGCTACTCACCCGAAAGCCAGTCATATCTGATCCTTCCAGGGGGAAGAGGGCGATGTCTCCCATGCCAGCAAGGAGGTCCCCGTGATAGAGCTGTATGAAGCGCATGGCCCCTGGCTCCATCAACAGCACCATCTCCACCAGCTCCTCCTGCTCCGGTGAGCCCACCTGCTCCGGAGACCCCATGGAACGCTCCGTTGGGCCCACTGGGCCTGGAGACCCTACAGGCCTCGGGCTTACCACCCCTGCCTGCCCTGGATACCCCACGGGCTCCAGGCTTTCCCTCCCGTCCTGTTCCAAAGCCCCCGCGGGCTCCAAGACGACTGGCCTGGCCTGGCCCAGAGACCCTATGGGGTCTGTCCTTAGAGAGGCTCCGGGCTGGCCTGTTGCCTCCTCAGAGCCCAAGGTCACTGCCTCTATACCCTTCAGCGCCCTCTCTGGCCCTCCAGCCTCCAGGAGAGCGTGCTCCGCGGCCCCAGCCCCGAAGTCAGCCAAGTGGTCCCCTCCACTGGGGTCCCCAGCAAGCTCCTCGGGCTCTAGGACGCTGTAGTGGGGGACCAGACTCAGCTCCAAGCCCTGTAGGCGGTGGTCCTGCTGCAGCACCCGTTCAGCCACTGGGGGGAAGGGAGAGGACAGGAGGCCCGTCAGTGGTCTGAGGGAGGGGGCGTGGGCCAAGTCCGTCTAGCCCTACTCACCCTGCCACTGCTGGAAAGCGGCCACGGTGCCCAGCTGCCCCGGCAGGCTGCGCAGGCCCTCCAGGGGGCCCCCGCCGCTTCGGCGCTCGTTCTCCAGGTACAGCTCCAGCAACAGAGGGTCCACAGGCGAGGTGCCCCCCACCACACGCACCGCTCGGGCCTGGGGCACCCACGCCAGGGATACGTCAGCCCCATCCAGGCCCAGGGCCCGGACCTGCTCCTCCAGCACACGGATGTCTGTGGAGAAGGTTCACGTTGGCTCAGGGCATCTTCCCTAACAGACCCGCCTGTTCCTCTCCCCCCTCTCACCTGCCTCAGAGAGGGGCTTGGGCAGCTGGACCAGGGCCCTGTCTGGTCGGGGACTGGCCAAGACATGGCAGGGCTGCTCTGGGTGCCCCATGGCATGCAGCAGGGCCTGGATGTGTTGCTCCAGGTGCTGGGGTGCAGCGCCAGGGGGCAGTCCTTGGAGCAGGAGGCGTGCAGGGGCACGAGGCGGGGCTGGCCGCACGCTCAGCCGAGCACCTGGTAGCACGTGCTCCTTCTGGGCCAAGACCCTTGCTGCGTCTGTGGGCAGGGGTCGGGTGGGGTGGGGTGTCAGTGCCGGCGGCCCATGAGGTGCCCAGGCTTCCCTTCCCATCAGCCTCCTCACCTGCAGGCTCTTGAAAAGTGAGTACACCCCCGTGGCCAAGTCTCTGCCAGCTCAGCACAGGTCCCCCCCCAGAGCGTCGGTGGTTCTCGAAGTAGAGCATGAGCAACTCATCGGGGATATTGGGGGGCAGCCCGCTGAGCTCCACTGCCGCCCCCACCTCCTCTGCCTCTGCCATTGCAACCCTAGGGCAAGGACAGGGTGGGGGCGGGGGGTGTAGGATAGCCACCCCACAGTCCGGTCCCACCCCCTCCCAGCCCCCTCCAACCCTGCTTCTCCCTCCCCCCACAGCATTCCCTGACACCCCCCTTCATCTTGGGCAGCCCACATTCCGCACTTACACTGCCCCCTGCCTGGGCCTCCCCAGCCCACGCCTTTAGCTAGGGCTCTGGCTCCTGCTCGGAAGTCAGAAGGCCAGGGACCAGAAAACAAAAGTGAAACTGTCTGAGGGAGGGAAGAAGGGAGGGGCCTGACGCACTGGGCGGGGTGGCTGCCCAGGAGGTGCTTCCCTTCCTACTGGCAGGCCCTCCTGCAGAACCTTCCACCCTACCGCAGTTCCTCAGCCCAGAGAGACCCTAGCGACCAGGTGTTGGCTGGGCATGACCTGTTGGTCCAGCCCATCAGCCCCATTGTCCCACCCCAGCCCAGTGACCCACAGGGTAGGGGAAGTGGCCCACTCGCTGTCCTCTGCTCCTGCTGTCCTCTCCCCGTGAACCTAAAAATGGCCAATCACCCTCCCTACTAAATCCACCAGGGGGCTCCAGTCACTGCCTCCTACTCAGGGACCTCAAGCCTCTGTGTTCCCTCCCCAACAGCAGAAGCATCTTGGGTCTCTAGGCACACCCCTGGCTCAGGCTTGCTTTCAGCTCTCCCCAGGAACCTCCCCAGACTTGCTCCCCACCCTTCATATCTAGCAGGGGAGCAGCTCTCACACCTGACCTTGTAGGTCAAGTGCTTCCCAGCATAGCCTTCCTCTGCCTCCTCTACCCACTTCCCCGGGTCTCTCTGCCCTGGTCCATGCACCCACCCAGTCTTCCCATCTCACATCCTCATCATCATCGTCATCGTCACTGTCACCATGGAACCCCAGAAGGTGCAGGCATTGTGCCTTGATGCTGGAAATCTTCGTCACAGAACAGGAGTTGCAGGCACAGACAGGGCCCGCAGTAGTGCTCACAGCCGAGCTGCACCTTTAGAAGCCGGCTCCCTCTTGGCCCATGCTCCACTTGCTTCCAGCCTCTCAGAGACGTGTGCCCAAGACTCTGCTCTACCTCCCACCTGCCATTTACCCACCAGCCTCCACCCCTGCTGCTCTGCCAGGGGACTGAGGACCTGCCCAGCCTGCACTCCCAGCTGTACACCTGGCTCCGTGGCTGCCTGCACCCCGGTCTGACCGCCATCATCTCTCACCTGGATCACTAACTTTCTAACCTTCTAACTAGTCTCCCTCTGCCACACCCACCCTCCCCCACTGTCCGTCCTCGACAGAGCAGGCAGAGTGAGCCTTGCAAAGGGGGTCCAAGCTGCTGCAGCTTGGGCCATGGTGAAAGCCAGAGTCACTCACAGTAAAAGCCGAAGTCCTTTGGAGGGCCTGCCTGACAGAGCCCCAGGGCCCTCCGAGGCTCTATCCCCTGGGCTCCCCATGCTCAGCCAGGTCCAGCCTCTTCCACCCGTGCAGCTAACTGCCCCCACCTCAGCATCCTTGCACTGGCCTTTCCCACAGAGCCACCTGGCCACGCTGCCCCTTACCCACGCTTAGTTGCAGATTTAACTTGAAGCTAAAAGTCTTTAAGGACCTTATACAGGCCGTTTCAAAGGCCCTGGCCTCAACTCCATATTTGTCATTTTTTATCATTTCCTCAAATTGTATGCACTTTCAGTTCCACAAAGCACCAGTGTGTCCCTGCCTGCCCTATATTTTCTCTCCTCAGAGAACGCGCCACCTCCTAAGATGCTGTGTAATTTCTTTATTATGCTGCTCCCTGCTGCAGAGGGCCAGCCAGGCAGCGGTGCCCTGGGGCAGCTCACGTCACCACCAGATTGCTGAACTGTTATGAACCAGTCGTTAGACTGGTGGCAGCTTACACTCTGTCGGGCGGAAGGTGCCAATCAGGGCTTCCCCTCGCCAGACCCAACGTGGAGCCAGCACACCACGGACACAGGACAGAGCCTTTTCCAGACCACTGCGGGGCCTGGGGGAGGACAACCGTGCAAGAGCCAGGAGCACAGCAAGGTCCCCAGGCCCCAGGTGGAGAGGCGCTGCAGCAGGGGGTGTCCCCGGTTGCAGCAGTCAGCTCCTGCTCAGGAGGACCGCTGGAGCTGGGGGGAGACGTGAAGCCCCCCCAGTCCTGGGACGTCTCTAACCCTCAGCCCCTTCGCAGTGAAGCAGGGCTAAGGGTTGAAGCCGGGCGGGAGTGGAGGTGTGGTGAAAACGGCGAGGCTGAAAGGTCTCCTGTGGATCCTGGAATAGTCTGCTTTCGGTGACTGGCACAGATGACGGAGCAACTACATGATCAGGCCTCCTGATCGGGGATAGCCTTGAATGAAAAGGGAAAGCGGTGTTTTTAATCCAGGAAAGGATGGAGAGTTCTTGGCACGCTCAGTAATCCCAGGTTTAGGAATAAATTTCTCAGCTCTCTGAACCAAATTGGCCTGACAGACCTCCGCCTCCCGGCGTCTTCAGCCCCCACGGCCCAAGCCCACTCGTCGGCGGACCTTGTGGGACGCGGGGCCTGGGCCTAGAACTCTGAAAGGAGCCAGTACGGCGGCGCAGCGAGTGGAGTCCTCGGAGGAGAAGCCCCACATTAGCCGCGGCGGCTCCGCCCCGCGCCCGCTTGGCCCCGCCCACCGCCGTCCGGCCCCGCCCCGCGCCCGCCCCGCTCCGTCACAAGGCCCCGCTGCGTCTTCCCAGCCGCAGGCGCAGGCCCAGCCAAGCCGGCTGCGGAGCGGTTGCGGGTTTGGGTGCGGGCGCAGCGGCCATCGACCGCGCGGCCGCACAGCGGACACCGTGCGCACCGTCCTGAGAAGCCCCGCGAGTGGTGAGTCCCCGGCCCAAGCTACGCGTCTACCTGCTGAACCTCCGGGTCGGCCGCCCCCGCCCCCGCATGGACCCTGCGTAGCCGAGCGGCGCCACTGTGGGTCAGTCGGTCGGTCTGGTCGGGGCTCGCAGCCCGCTTGGGGCTGGGGCGGTGGCCAGGGGTCGAGGACCCGCGGCCTGGAGCGGGAGGGAGGTGGTGATGCGCTGCGGTGGTGGCGGGACCCGCGGCCCGAGCGCCCGCCGACCGACCGGGCAGAAGGGCCCGCCCTGCCCTCGAAGCAGGTTCGGTGGCCGCCGCCCCCGTTCGCTTCGCCCCCACGCCTGCTTTGTTTCTCCGCACGCCCTCTTGTCCCTTCCATCCCCCACACACCCCCGCACCCCGCTGTTCCTGGCGTACCCCACTGGCAGGCACCCCGGCAGCCCATCCAGGCCTGCTGCCCCCACCCCGGGAGCGAGGGACGGACGGGCCCTGCTCTCCGAGAGGGGTCAGGGCTCTCGCCGCTCACAGATGGCCTGCGGATTTCGTAGGATAGAAATAGCCGCCGGCTCTGGCCCCTCAAAGCGGCTTAAGGGGCGGGATGCTAAGGGGAGGGTCCGGGCACACCCCACACCTCCCGACCGCGCCCCCAGTCCCGACCTGGCGGCTCCGACCGGGAGACCCCAGATCGGTGAGAAGGCCCTTCCACTTGCTTCTAAGAAACAACCGGAGCCCCAAATCCCGAGACTGACAGCTATCTCCTCCTCCACCCCTCCTCCACCTTCGGGATTGGCCTAGAGCAGCCTCTAGCCAGAAGCCCCAGGCCCAGCCACCCACCTGGTGCCACCCCGCCCCGCTCTCCTGGCCCCTCTGTCCGGGGCTGCCGACTGACTGGCTGGAGACAAAGGTCATGAATTCCCCTTCCTGAGACCGGTTTCAGTTTCCTGCAGCAGGTGGGGCAGCCCCAGGCTGATTCTCGGGGGACTAGTGCCCCCAGGGCTGACTGTTCTCTCTCTTTCCTCTAGGGGGAGACCACAGAACCTGAGGCCATGCCTCATGAGAAGAGTTTCTTGGTGTCTGGGGACAACTATCCTCCCCCCAACCCTGGATATCCTGGGGGGCCCCAGCCCTCCATGCCTCCCTATCCTGGGACCTCTTACCCACAACCCCCGTTCCAGCCTTCCCCCTATGGCCAGCCAGGGTATCCCCAGGGCCCCTACCCCCAAGGGGGTTACCCTCAGGGTCCCTACCCCCAAGGGGGCTACCCTCAGGGTCCCTATCCCCAAGGGGGCTACCCCCAGGGCCCTTACCCCCAAGGGGGCTACCCCCAGGGGCCGTATCCGCAGAGCCCCTTCCCACCCAACCCCTATGGACAACCACAGGCCTTCCCAGCCCAGGACCCTGGCTGTGAGTAACGTGCAGGGGCTCGGGGAGGGCAGGGGCTCCAGGCGTCGCAGGTAGCTCTGACCCAGCCCATCCTGCTCCTCAGCACCTCAGCATGGGAACTATCACGAGGAGGGACCCCCGTCCTACTATGACAACCAGGACTTCCCTGCCACCAACTGGGATGACAAAAGCATCCGCCAGGCCTTCATCCGGAAGGTGGGCCTGGGGCTGGGGTAGGGCGGGGCCGAGCAGTGGCACTGGGCAGGCTCTGAGCGGCCCCTTCCTCAGGTGTTCCTGGTGCTGACCCTGCAGCTGTCCGTGACTCTGTCCACTGTGGCCGTGTTCACGTTCGTCACGGAGGTGAAGGGCTTCGTCCGGGAGAATGTCTGGACGTACTACGTTTCCTATGCTGTCTTCTTCATCTCCCTCATTGTTCTCAGCTGCTGTGGGGACTTCCGGCGAAAGCACCCCTGGAACCTCGTTGCACTGGTAACCCCAAAACCTGCGCCCCTGGCCCCCACAGCTCAGCCTTCCCACCCCACACGCACAGTTTGCACTAACAGGGGGTGGGGCTGAAGCAGCCCCCACACCCAAGGCCTTGTCTCCCCACAGTCAATCCTGACCGTCAGCCTATCCTACATGGTGGGCATGATCGCCAGCTTCTACGACACTGAGGCGGTCATCATGGCTGTGGGCATCACCACGACCGTCTGCTTCACGGTGGTCATCTTCTCCATGCAGGTGAGGGGTCTTGGTGGTCACCTTCCCACGTGTGTGAGGGCCCCCAGGTGGGGCTGCTGGCTTGGGGCCTAGCAGGGCGGGCACCCAGGGCCTGCTGTCCCCTGTGTCCACAGACACGCTACGACTTCACATCATGCATGGGCGTGCTCCTGGTGAGCATGGTGGTGCTGATCGTCTTCGCCGTCCTCTGCATCTTCATCCGCAACCGCATCCTGGAGATTGTATACGCCTCACTGGGCGCGCTGCTCTTCACCTGCGTGAGTGAGGGGCTGCCTGGGGCGGGGGTGGGCGCAGGGGTGGGCAAGCAGGTCCCTGAGCACTGCGTGCTGTCACCCCAGTTCCTGGCAGTGGACACCCAGCTGCTGCTGGGGAACAAGCAGCTGTCGCTGAGCCCAGAGGAGTATGTGTTCGCGGCACTGAACCTGTACACAGACATCATCAACATTTTCCTGTATATCCTCACCATCATCGGCCGCGCCAAGGAGTAGACCTAGCCCTGGCTCCAGCGGGGCCCCACGCAGGTGGCGTGGCTGGCATGGCAGTGCCGCCTGGACCTCCCCTCTCTCTCCCTGGGCGCAGCCTGGGACAGAGGAAGCCCCTCTCCACCCTTCCTATGTGTACACTGCAGATACTTCTGTTTAGACCCACTGTGGCCAGCATGGCCTCTTCTAGCCCCCCCACCCTGCCACAGGGCAGCGAGGCTGCATTTCTGTGCCACCTCCTGCCCACTCACTGTTGCATGAGCCCTGTCTGCCAGCCCACCCCAGGGAGCAACACCAGGTCCCAGGGGACAGGGATCGAGCCAAGAGGTGAGGGTGCACGTCTCCCCTCCTGTCCCAGCTCCCCGCCTGGCATAACGTACCCCCTTCCCCCCCTCACACCCACCCTGGAGTGCTGCCCTCTGGGGAGCCTGAGGGCTGAGGGTCTCACCCCTGTGCTGCGGCCTGAGGGCAGAGAGGATGGAATGTTTGGGGGGAGAAGGATGCCTTCTTCTCATTCTGCTGTCTTTAAAACTCCAATAAATGGGACCCTCTGCTCTCTGTGCTCTTCTTCTCACTCTTCTCAGCGCCACTCCTTCCACGGGGTGGGGAGGCACCTGGGCCTCACCAGGGCGGTGAAGGTGGCAGGACCAGGTGTTCACGGTGGGGTTCGCTTGTACTGGGGGTTAATGGCCGCAGTAGCTGGTCCTTCTCTACCCACACTTCCGCCTCCCTTCTTGCAATCTCCCCAGCCATGTCCTAAGGTATGTACCAGGATTCCCAGCTGATGGACAGGGACCCCTGAGGCTCCCGGAGGTTAAGCAAGGTACCTGGGTGACATGATGGTAAGTGGCCTGGCTGTATCTGCCACTCATTCCTGGTGACTGACTGTACAGTGTGACATGAGAGCCTTACCATGTTGCCTGAGGGGCAGTGGCCTAGGTTACTGCCCTGCCCTGGGCAGGCTGTCATGCTTCTCCGACTCTCCCTGTCTCTGCAAGGCCCCCAGGGAGCCCACCCTTGGGCACCTGGAGTGCTGCCCAGCATACCCCTCCCCCCTCCCCACGAGAACCATGCAAACTAGAGCCCCCAGTGGAGAGCTGGACAAAGACCGAGGGCTCAGCCAGTCGGTCTCTCAGCCTACCTCCAGCACCTTCCCTGGCCTTGCCAGTCCTGCGCCCCCCACCCCACCATCACGTTCAAGGGCCCTCAGACCCAGCTGGTTCTGCATGTCCTCACTCGTGGCTCTTGCCACCATAACTCTGGAACCGTCACCCATCCACACCCTGCCTCTGGAGTATGTGTTCAGATGTCAGCTAGCTGTCCATAGCCTCACCCTGGCTCCCATGGAGGGGTCCCTTTGCTGCCCCAGACCCCACTCTATCTGAGGACCTCCCTTCCCTGAGCCTTCCTAAGCTAACCCCAGTGGACCCTCCTCACTGCGGCCTTCTCCCTGCAGGACCCTCCCTCCATCCAGCTTGACTTGAGGACCCTCCTGGGGCTCCTCCACCTTCTCCCTGGGAACCCATCAACCTCTCCTCTAACTGGCACCATCACCCCAGCATCTGTGAAGGGACCCACACATTGGGCCACCACCCTGCCAGGTCCATAGGCCCCTCAGCTGAGGCCTGCCCAGAGCCAAGTCCCTCCTCCTCGCCAACCTGCTGCTCCTGCACTGTCTCCATCAGCAGTGTCCACTCCAGACGCTCAGGCCAGGAGTGGGGCTGTGCTTTCTCCCCTCATGCATCCTGCCTGGCTACCAGGTTTGTTTCCAAAACACAGATCACACCACCTGCCTACTTAAAACCCTTTGACAGTTGCCAATAAGATGAAGTCCAGATTCCTTGCCTAGAACACTGTCCCTGCCATATGCCCTCTGGCTGCTCCACCTGGCCTCCCCTGTCCCCTCGCCATCACCCCCTAGGCCCTAGGACCTTGTGCACTCTGTGCCCTAGGCAGGCCCCACCTCCATGGGCGGAGGTACACACTGCCTTCCCAGCCACCTGGGCCCCTTCCTGGTGTCCACCTCACCCTGTACAGCCTCTCTCCAGCCGCTCTCGTCACTCTCCTTTGTTCACAGGCTTCACACTGGCAGGTGATGCAGCCCCCTTCCCCCACGTCTCCTGGCAGCTGTCTCCTTAAGCAGGAGCAGGTCCTCATCCAGGGAGCCCTGCCTGCCAGAGCTCTAAGCACAGGGCCCTGCTCAGTGGTAGCTCACAGACCCAGCAGGATTTCACACTGAGGAGGAAAGAGAGAGCATTCGCACTGCTGAAGAGAACAGCAGTCACAGCAGAAGGAGCAGCTCAGGCATGAGCATCAAGCAAAATACGCATGGACAGGATTTTCTCTAGTTCAAGGACAAACTCCGGGCTCTGCTAACCCACTGGGGAGGCTCCTTGGGGACAGCTAGGGCTTGGACCAGGAGGCCTCTACTGCAGGAGGGAAGGCCAGGGCCCTGTACCAGTGAGGGCTTGGACCTGTCCTATAGGTGAAGAGGACTCGGGCAGGAGCCACAGCTGGGTTTGTGTTTAGGAAAGCATGTCCAGCAACAGAATGTCCAGGCAATGGTGATGCAGTGTGAACCGGTGAAGAAATGGGGGAGTAAGCTACTGAGGTGTGCCAGAGAAGAGCTGGAAGCAGTATTGGGGGGAGGGGCAGGGGTATCTGGAGGCAGCTTGTAGCACCAAAAACGGGATCAGGCTGGGCCCAGGGGCGGGCCAGCAAGGGTGTTGCTGCCAATGTACTGTGGCCTGCTGTCTGCTACAGCCCACCCAGAGAGCGGGGGAAAAAGGGTCAACTGATCTGACTGGGTGGGTAGGTGGGCAGAAAAGGTACACACTCTGGTGCAGGAAGCTGAATGGAGCCACAGCAATTGTGAGATTAACCGTGTTGATTCTTCAGGTAAGGAAGGAAGCAGTCCCCAACATCCCAGAGCTGGTCTTATCAGCTAGGCCCTGGTGTCACTGGGAACCGGCCTGTCACTCTCAGATACAGTGTTTTCCGGTTTAGAATACAAACATCATACAACACCAGCATCAGACAACGCCCCTGTGTGAGCTGTCAAGACCAGACCACTCTGACGTCTGAACAGAGAAAACACGAGCCCTGCCCAAGCCAATAAGACCGACGGCGCCTGCCCTAACTAATCTGAGTGCCGTAGCCTCTTCAGACAGTTTCAGCCTGCCTCTTGTCTGTCCTCCTTCCGGAGACGTGTCAAGATACCCAGTCACAGAATGACTCCCCTTCCTGACAGCATCCAACCCAGAGCAAATCCCTGCTTCCTTAAGCCCTCTGCAGTTCACCCACACAAGCCAAACCCTAGTGAGACGTTTTAGCACCCATTCCTGAGATTCCCTGCAGACCCCACGACTCACAGCTTCTGTCACCACACTCAGCAGTAGCCCGACCTGTTCAACCACCAGCGTGTCCAGGCCGGGCGGGGAGGAGGGGACTTCTGCTGGAGGGGATTAATACAGCTAGCTGTCCACAAGGCCAAAGAAGGCTTGTTTATTCTTTCACCAAAAGTGTTTATTTGAAGACATAATCATTAAATCCATCCTTGTTTTCAAGATTAACGACACAAAGACCCACACCCCCTCACACTCCCCGGCCTGCAGAGCAGCACTGTCTTCAGCACCACTGATGGGTGCTGATGCGGCAGCCAGGACCCCAGCTCACAGAACACCCAGCGCAGGTGCCCGGTGCCACTTGCCCAGGGCTACCGTTGAGTGTCTCCGAACTAGAAGTGCCTTCAGAAGAGGAACTGTGACGTGCGCGTTTCAGCATCCAGACCAGCTCCTCACCCAGGGCCAGGCACACCGTCGGCCTCAACTGTGGTGTGAGTGGCACCAGCTGAACAAGCACTAGCTGTCCCAGGGCCAGGGCCAGAACGCTGTGGACTTTGGCACAGCGCTGGTGGAGGTGTTTCAGGAGTGGGACAGCAAAACTAAAAGCCCAGGAGAACCATGGCGGCACATCTGTGAGGACCAGGTGAGAGAGAGAAAGGATGGAGGGGAGGGGATGGGTGGTGGGGTCAGGTGTGGCCCGCTGGGCATGGCAAAGCCAAGGGTCAGAACTCTGTTTTGCAGTAAGTGATGGACCACTGGAATCTTCCAGGGAAAAGTCTTCTCTGAGTGAAGGCAGAAGGTCAGCGAGAACCACAGTGATGGTGCAGGCAGGGGCCTAGGCTGGGGGCAGCTCCCAGGCAGCCCCTTCCCCATGGGGCCCGGGTGCTGCATCCCAGGCAGCAGGATGGCTTGGCCTCTCTGCTACCAAAAGCATTCTATGTTTCTCGAATGCCGTCTTTGTCTCAGGTTTGTCGGGCACTGGAGGTCTTCCAGAATGCCCAAAATGTAATGCCCACCCCCACCCCCACCCACTCCAACTTCTCAGCTCCCCTCCTCACTACTGAAGACCACCTCTTCTCCTCTGGGTCTTCACTTCACAACACCATCCACATCTCCCTTGTCGTCGAAACTTCTAAACCTCTAGGCTCTTGTGCAGCAGCTTCCTCCCTTGAAGCCGTGCCCTGGGCTCTTCATTCTGCTCTGGCCTAATTTTCCCCGTTATCCAGCAGCTTCCTGGTTCTGGGAGGACTCTAGCACTAGGCTCAAAATCCTCTGCTTACCCCAGTTGCTAGTATGACCCTGGAGCATTTCAGATTCTGTCTTCTCTCCCAAGCCAAGGCCATGATCATCTCTGCAGTGGACCCCCAACCTGTCCTGGGCTCTGCAGACAGAGAGCTCTGCTTTTTAGGGGTCTTCCATCAAGATGGGCTGAACTGACGACCTGGGACCCTGACTCCCACTCTCAATACATGAAATTGCCAGATAAAATATTTGTACAATTGAAGTATACATAGCCAAGCAGAAATGCAAGAAACAAATGTGACAGGCAACCCTTCAGCTGTGAGGGAAGAGTTAAAGCTATGGGATCTGGAGAGGCTGCACTAAGGAACCAAAACCTGGCGCTCAGTGCCAGAAGGCAAAGGTCCACCTGAGAGCCCGAGGGACAGAGCCTCACCGCCGCCACCACCCAGACTTGACCTGGCTCAGCCTGGTGGTTGAAGATCATCAGCCCCATGCTGTCTGCCTGGCAGGGGGCAGAGCGAACTGCGTCTGGAAGAAGGTAACATCAGCCAGAACCTCTATGGCATTTTTACACAGTGTCTATCAGTTTAAAACTGTTAGACATTTCAAAAGTTAGACTTTGCAACTGAAAACCAAGAGGAAAAATAAGATGACAACAGACTTAGAGGTGAGTCAAAGATTGGAAATATCAAAAACAAGGACTTCAAACTAAATGTGCTTAATGTGTTAAGGAAAATGCCGGGGGGAATGGAGAAACAAGGAAGATAATACGGAGAATTTCCCCCAGAGAGTTGGATTCCATAAAACACATCAAACTGAGTATCTGGAATGAAAAAAAATTACTGAAACTAAAAATTCAGTAGATGGGCTTAAGAGCAGATGAGATAAATCAGAGAAAAGGATTAATGAACTGAAAGGTCAACAGAAAATACCCAAACTCACAAAGAAGAAGAAAAAGAATGGATGCAGAAAAAACAGAGAGTGAGGGAAAGGTGGAAAACGCACACAGTGGAGCCCAGAGAAAAGGAGACAAAGAATGGAGAAGCAGCATCTGAAGGGAGAACACGGAAACACCTCCAAAACCAGTGACACTGACTCACAATCTGCCAACAGTGACCCACGAAGCTTAGGCTGACCTCAGAAACTGCCCAGTCTATCTCATGAGCTCAGCGTTACAACTTGCATCATGTCCCCCAAATTCATATGCTGAACTCCTAACCCCCAGGACCTCAGAACGTGACCATGTCTGGAAATTGGGTCATTGCCGTAGGAATCAGTCAAGATGAGGTCCCACTGGAACCCGATCTGCCCTCTGCTGCGGGGCCGACAAGGGCCTGGCACTGAGGCACCAGCATAGGCCCAGGTGTCCCGGACATAGGGGAGTCATGAACTGGCAGCGGCTGGGCACCGCCCTGCTCAGAGGAGATGCGTGAGGAACAAGGAAGCTTCCGGGGAGGGGCAGCATCCACAAAGGCGCAGGGCCCATGGTGAACTGTTGAGGGGGGTGGAGGTGCAGGAGAAGAGAGGGGCAAGCAGGGAGGTCAGCGCTTAACCTGGATGCAGAGGGCACAGGGGAAGCAGCAGGGCCAGGCAGGGTCCATGCACTTGCCGCACAGGGACTCACCACAAGCCTCCAGAATGCTGTTACTGGACTCAGTGCACCTAATGGAGACTATTCTGCAGCCCGAGGGCTCACATACAATCATGTGAACTGGCTGTTAAAAACAGGACATCTTCAGATAAGAGCAGCTCTCCCTTTACTCAAAACCCTCAGACCTTTCCATGTCACTGAGTATAAAAGCCAAAGCCTCTGTCAGCCTACAAACCCCATCCCACCTTCTTGACTCTCTTGCCTCCTCTCTCTCTGTGGCTCGTTGCCCTCTATTTCGCAGGCCTCCTCGATGGTCTCCAAAACTGCGCCAAGCCTGCTCGTGTGCCCCAGGGCCTTTGCACTGGCCGTGCCCCCTGCCTGGAAGGCTTTACCCCCAAACATCTTCATTCCTATTCCCTCCTCTCTTTCAGGTTTCCTGCCAGGCATCATCGTGTCAGGGAGGCACTCCAACACTCTGCACTAAGGAGTGTGAACCCCTCTCGCTCTGCCCTCTATCCGCTCAATTCCTCCTCATGTGTCACCACTGCTGTCACCCAGCCAGAAAGTCAGCTCCATGGCAGCAGGGCCTTTGCTGTGTTCCCTGCAGGGGTAGAAGATGGTGCTCGGTGCCTGCTATGGAGCAAACGGCCAAATGCAGTCCTGAGAGTCGTCATGAGAGGGTGTCAGCACCCTGTGCTGAAGAGTGGGGAACTGAGGCGCACGGGGGATCATCCGGCTGTACGTGGCTGAGTGGGGGCCTTCGCTCAGGCTCATCAGATCCCAGGCCGCCCCAGTCTCTATGCCCTGTCTCCCCTGAGACTGTGTGATAGCCCCTGGGCACGAAACGAGGCTGGGGAGCCTGTCCTGCACTGGGCAGCTCCCAGCCATGTAAATGGAACAGAGAGACGAGAGGTTCCCTGCTTGTCCCCTGCTGTCCTCCAGGACCTGCAATGATGCCTGGCGTTTGGCAGGCCTTAGAGATCTATGGGCTCACAAGAAGATGCATTTAGCTCCTGCTCTGTGCCAGACACTGCCCTCATTGTTCTGCACACACTGCCTCTCTGAGCCTCCAGAGTAAGAAGGAGGAGCATTGCTACCCCACACGGCAGGTGAAGGAACAGGGGCCTGCCCTGGGCCACACGACAAAGCTGCAGCAAGGTGTGTGACTACGCTGGTGCTACTGACAGAGGTCCTGAGGGCACATCTCAGGAGCCGGGGTCTGGGGAAGGAATAGGAGTCAACTGAGGGTCAGGGTTGGGGGCAACACAGGTCTGAGGTGGGGCCTTGGGGTTGAGGACCTGGAACCCCAACCACATGCCTCCTGTGCCCCGTGCTCATCCATCTCCCCTTCCTTGGGGCCGGCCACTCTGCCCTCCATGGCTCTCAATGCCTAGTCTTTATGTGGGTCTCCCAGCCCTCTCCATCCTTGCCACCCTCCAAATAACACTTTGCAAAAAGCAGAGAGGAATTAACTACACAGAGAAGTTGTCCACAGTCCAGAGCTGAAAGAGCCCTTCTGGTCTCTGCCCTGGCCACTAGTCCCTGAGCCTTTGAGGAGGGGTAACTGGATGACCCCTGGGGTTGGTGACCAAGGTCACACTCCCAGGAGGCTCCACCTCTGGCCGAGACCTGCAGAGTCTTTCCTCTGAGGCCCTTCTGCATAGCTCTGGCAGGCAAGGCCCCAGGTAGACAAGCAGATGTCCCTGCTCACCCTGAGGCCATCTGCCTTCCCACAGCCCTCCAGACTCTGAGGGACAACTGACTCACTCAGACACCCAGGCACTCATAGCAAACACTCAGAAGGTCAGGGAGCACCTGGCCTATCTCTACTGCCAGCCAACACATCTTCTCTAGCTTCGTGGTGGGGAAAAGAAAGAAACGTTGAATAAAAATGCATTCATATATTTATTGAGCACCTACTATGTGCCAGAAGCTGTACTGGGCTCTGGTCCCCCGAGGTATCCCCTCAGCCTCCTCTCTGAGGACTGCCTAGATCCAATGGGGGAGTCAGAAAGAACCCTATCTTGGTAGGTGTGCAGAGAAAGGCTGCAGCCCAAGGGGTGAGGCTGGAGACTGAAAAAGCAGGTGTGAGACTAGGCTGCCTGAAGCCCCAACCTGAACAGCTGGGAAAGTACTGGAAGAACGGACTGGTTGTGGGGACCTGTCAGGCACTTGCATGACAGTGCCTCAGTGCCGTCACCCATAGGACTAGGTATTTGTATTATCTGCTTGGACAGGAAGTAGAAGAGGGTATGGACAGAGGGTTCCAGGTTAAAAGTCCCTGTTCGGCAACTTTATGTCTTGAGAAGAAGGCTTTACAGTGAAGCTTATTAAACAAAGAATCCCAAGCCAAGATGGGAGCAAAGATTCCCAAAGGCCTTGCCAAGCCCACACACTGAGCTGAATCTAATGAAGCAAATGTAAATGGGAACGAACTGTGCACAAGCCAGTGACCCACGACCAAGGAGGAATCTTACTCAGCATAAGCAAGTGGGAAAACACTGAAGGTCTGCTTGCAGCAAATTCCAACAAGCCCATGAGGAATGCAAACCTCGAATGGACACCAGAAGGTTCCTGTCGCTCCTGCAGGTGTGACCTGGCAGTCAGGAACTGAGGGCCATTCCAGAGTGACACTGTCCCAGTGCTCAGAGAGAAGACCTGGGCAGAGGAGGGCAAAGCACAAAATAGTAGCTCTCACTCGCCAGACTCTTTCCTCCAAAAAACATGGTCCAGACTAATGTAAATAAACTTTACGATGAATCCTCTGCTTTCCAGACTTCTGCTCCCCTAACCCAAACTCAAACCTGATAGATCTGGATGTCAAGACACAGTTGTATACACGATATAACAACAAGGACAACAAAAAAGGCAAGAAAATTGGAGGAAATACGAGTAGACAGAGCAGATGAGCCTGGAGAAGGTGAATACAAAGAAAGGGCCAGGGGCTGCAACTCAGCGTGCCAGGGGAGCCCGGGGCAGGGGGTGTACTGCGCCCTGCAGGTCTGTGGAGAAGCTGGAGGCAGAGGCACCCGTACCGGAAAATGCGAGGCCGTCCTTGCTCTCGCCCATGCCCAGCACCAGTCCAGGTGCAGCCACTACACTTTCATCAGCTCTGCCCACTCCTCTCCACCGCCTGCCTTCAGCCACCCTCACAGCTGGCTCAGATGACTGCAGTGGCTCTTTCCCCTTCAGTCTATTCCCACGTCCCCTCAAGCCTTTCAAGGGCTTCCCAAGACCCTTAGGATGAGGATCAACATCACCCCCTTGGCCACAAGACCTTGTCACAGCCTGGGCCCTGTATCCTTCCCCTGTATCCTTCCTGTCCCCACCTCTGTCCCATCCCAGGCCAGCGCCTTTCATTTCCCTCAGTCAGGCCCCTACCCCACAGCCTCTGCACAGGCTGTGCCCTCTGCTGGGAAGCTGTTCCTACAATAGAGAGCCATAGCATCTCCATCATCAACTTCCTCAAGGAAGGAAGGCTGCCCTGACCTGACCAGTTCTGACCTACCCATGACCCCTCTCCCACCATGATGTGGCCATTCGACATTTACATGTGATGACTCAATTCACGGCTGCTCCCCGCTATGCTGTACAGGCAATAAGGCAGGGACAGTGCCAGATTACAACAAGCACTGAACCCTCAACTCCTAACAAAATGCCTGACACCCAGTTGGTGCTCAATATATATTTTTGGGAACACAGTACTTTAAGGGAAATGCAGATGGTGTATCAGTCAGAGTTCTTAGCAAAGATTTGTTTTAAAGAATTGGCTCATACAATTGTGGGAGCTGGCAAGTCCAAAATCTGTAGAGCAGGCCAGCAGGCTGGAAACTCAGACGGGATTTCTAGGGCTGTTGAGAAAAGAATTTATTCTTCCATAGAAAATCTCAATGTTCTGCATTTAAGGTCTTCAAATGATTGGATCAAGCCCCCACGCACATGATTGAGAGTTATCTCTTTTAAAGTTAATCACATCTACAAAAAAACCCCGCCCAAACACCTGGGCACCATAGCCTAGCCAAAATGACACATAAAATCAAACCACCACAGATGGCAGAGATGGCAGCAACCCACAGAGAGGAAGAGGACTGAGAAGGATAGATGGGGAGCCTGTTTTCACCTACTGGAGGAAAGCCAAGCAGAGATGTTCCATAATGAACAGAAGGTGTACCCTGGCTTGGTGGTTCCATTGGTTGGAGTGTTGTCTGTGCACCAAACGGTTGCAGGTTTTCCCTGGCTAGTGTGGTTTAGTGGATTGAGTGCCAGCCTGACAACTGTAAGGTCGCTGGTTCGATTCCTAGTCAGGGCACATGCCTAGGTTGTGGGCCAAGTTCCCAGTTGGGAGCATGTGAGAGACAACTGATCAATGTATCTCTCTCCTATTGATGTTTCTCTTCCACTCTTGCTCCCTCCCTCCACTTCTCTCAAACAATAAATAAATAAATAAATAAATAAATAAATAAATATATATATATATATATTTTTTTTTTTTTTAATTTCAGGTTTGATTCCTGGTCAGGACACATATCTAGGTTTCAGGTTCAATCCCTGGTTGAGGAGCATACGGGAGGCAACTGATCTATGTTTCTCCCTCACATGGATGCCTGTCTCTCCCCCACCTCCTCCCTTCTCTAAAATCAATAAACATATCCTCAGATAAGGATTTTTTTTTCAAAAGAGCACAGTGTGGAGCGCCGACCTGCTCCACTGAGGACATCTAGGTACTGGTTCCCAGGGCCAGAGTGACTCAGCCAGGATTACAGTCTAGGGCCTCGGAGGAGGGTGGGGGCAAGGCCCCCCATTGTGAGGTCCAAGTAGAATGCTCAACTCAGGCTGACCCCAGCCCTGGCTGATCTTCAACGCTGTCCTCGCCCCCACCCTCCTACCAGGAGTGTGCCCTCTGGCTTATGCCTGGATTTCACCATGCTCTTCTTTTTGAGAGCAGATGCCCGCAGACCCAGCAGAGGTCATGAAGACACAACCTCACTTGACTCCCAAGGTCGGGCCCACAAAGTTCTCTGTGTAGGTAGCTCTTTTAAAAGGAATCACAATCAGGACTCAGATTTGAGTTCTTGGAACCTGACAAGAAATGTGGTCGGATACTCAAAGGTCTACAGTCAGGAAAAATCAAGGAACCAGAGAATGACAGAGCTATGGGTGCAAAGAGGATATTGCCAGAGGATTTGGAAGAGGGGAACTCGAGTCAACAGAAAAGGGAACTCCAGGTTATAGGGAGCCAGGTGCTCAGATAAGGAGCTCCTGGGCTGGCAGTCAAAGACTCTGAGCACCCTGGTGTCAGAAGAAAGCATGGCCCAGTGTCCAAGTGTCCAGAATAGAATGTCCCCAGGAGAAGGATGACAGGCTACACCTGGGTGTGCCCAAGATCAGAAGGAAAGGCAGCCTGTCCAGAAAGGAGGGCGATGAGTTTTCATTCATCCGATATTCACTGATTACCTACCTACAGTGCACCGGGCCCTTTGCTGAATTCTGGGGAGTCCCACAATCCCTGCCATCAATGTACAGAGAGTAAAACAGCCTTAAAGAGCTAACCAGACAGAGCCAGGTAAGTGCTATGACAGAAAACGCATCTGTGGGGGTAGCCGAGGGCAGGGATTAGCTGGCCATGGGTGGGAGGAAGCCTCACAGAGGGGGCAACGTCACTCTGTGGACAGAGACAGTGTCAGTAAATTCCAAGCCAAGGCAGGGCCTGCGCACAGGACTGCAGGCACAGAAAACAGAGCCTATTAGAGCAGAGAGGGCAAGGAGGAGGGCACAGCCTCTGACCTCACAATACCCCCTGGGCCAGCCTTGCCACTTGCAAACTCTGGCGCCCTCCTCCAGCCCGGGCAAGGCCCGGGGCCTTGGGCAGCCTCCAGGTGCAGTGCCCTCCAGTGGGCGGCACCCTGGGGCATGTCTCTGCTCACCAATTATGAGGGGCTTCGGCATCAGATCGAGAGGCTGGTGAGGGAAAATGAGGAACTGAAGAAGCTGGTGAGGCTCATTCGGGAGAATCACGAGCTTAAGTCAGCAATCAAGACACAGGCGGCTGGCCTGGGCATCAGCGGGTTCACCAGCGGGCATGGTGAGACGACAGCTGGCCCTTCTCAACTCCAGGGTAACTATAAGAGGCCCAAATTCAAGGAGGGTGGGAAGTGTGAGGCTGCACCAAAGAGGACAGACCGTGTGCTGGGGTCTCAGGAGTCATGGGGAGAAGGGCACAGATAGTAACAAACTTGTAGGACAGTGGCCCCACCAGGTAAGGGGAGGGTGAGGACACAAGACCATTGGAATGAAAGGGCAAATCTAGGCACCAGTCCCATTTACCTGGTGGTAGGAGCCCCAGCCCACACCCTTCTCAGCTGAACTTCCCAGCTCTGGGATCCAAATGTGCTGGCCTACCGGGTCTGACATGTTACTTACCCTCAGCCTCCCACCCTTCTCCTCCATCCCTCACCCTTAGCACCCCTGTCCCTCTCCCTATCACTGTCCACTCGGAGATGGCCAGTGGGCAATTGACAACACAAATCTAGAAACCAAGGGAAGAAACTAGGACAGAAGCTGGAGGTTTGGTAATTAATGTGTGGCAGAACCCTCGGGCTGGAGATTTAGACTATAGTGAGACAAGAATGGGCAAAGCATTTACAGGTGTTTGAAGAAAAGCAGTTGAAGTGACACTCTGTGGAGTCAGACCTGGAGTTGAGGGACTGAGCCAGGCAGGCACTCAGAGGCCCGGAGGCCAAAGAGGCTGCACAGCTGAGTGTGGAGACAGGAACGAGGCAAAGAATGGAAAACTGGGGACAGAGAGTGGTTGACATTGAAAAGATCTGAGGGAGAATTTGGGGGGGTGGCGAGATCCCAGAGTGTGACTACAGGAGTCATTGGCTACCACAGTGTGTTGGTAACAATTGTATAAGGCTAGGAGGTGACAAAATGCAGTGGCTGTTCCATCCACATCCCTCCTCCTCCCTACAAAATCCTTCCTTCCCTGTCACTCTGCCTGCTGGGACCCCACTCTCTTTATTCATGTTTGAAACTATCTCCTTTCCTGAGAGGATTCTGTTCTTTCAGTCTCTGTCCCATAAGCCTCCTCTACACAAAGATCATAAGTGGCTCCCTAAGTGCCATATCCTTCTGAACCTCTGTATGGCATTTGGGACTCTTCTCTTTCTGAGTTCCAAGACCACCCTCAGCACCCCCGGCTCAACTTAATCACTGCTGCTTTCAGGCCGCTCAGGGTCCATCCTCCACCCCCAGCAAGCCTGCCCGCTGTGGGTTCCAACCCTCCACTAGAAGGGGAGATCCCCTCAGAGGCTCTTGCAGGCCCAGTGAGTCCCTGTAACTTAGGTCTGTCCAAACTAGACACACTTCTGATTAAGAGCTTGCCCTTTCCACTAAGATGCGAAAGCCCTGAGGTCTGTGCTCCTTCTCCACCATCCCACTTCCAGCTCAAAGCCTTTATTCTGGAAAGTTGCCCGCCTTGCTCCCTACCCACTGTGTTCCCTGCCGTCCAACCTGGCTGTGGCACCAGGCCAATCTAACAGTCCCCCCTTACTGATGACAAGCACACAGTCCCCTCTTTTGAAAGGTTCTACTGCTAAAGACTCTGAAACAATAGGCAGGATGACAAAACTAATGCGCACAGGGACATGAGACATTTAAGAACTCTCACAGTTTAAGAAAATAGACTCTGGTTTCCTAACCCAGAGTAATCAAGCAAGCCTTCTCCTCTTAGGCTTGATTCATAGAAAATCCTTGGACCACTTCTGGCTTTCCAACTCCTGAAGGGTCAAGTTTAGGGGATTAGGAAAGGCTTTCTGCAGGAGGTGAGCCCAGACAGCTGGTGGTGAATGGGGGCAAGGGGAATTCCAGGAGGAGGAGCAACTTGTGAAAGGCCTGGACCTGGGGTGCAGGAATAAGATACAGGTCAATGTGGCCAAAGCCCAGGCTGTTTGTGTGTGTGTGTGCACTGAGTGTGTGGTATGTATGTGAGACAGTGAGGGTGTGGGTATGGGGGGGGGTGAGTCTGAATGAAGTGAATCACCTGTCTGTTGTCTCAGTCATTAGCAGGGTATGTAAGCATGTGAATGTGGTGTGCCAGTGTGTGTGATCCATGAGTGTGTAGTGTGTGTGTTGTGTGGTGTGTGTGGGGCAGGTGTGTGACTGGGATGTGCTGAGTGAGTGGGGGGAAATGTGTGGTTCGGGTCCGTGAGAGTGCATTGTGTGTGGTACGTGACTGTTGTGTGAGTTGCTGTGCGGTGTGTGTGAATGCACGTGTTTGGTCTGCGTGCACAAGTGTGTGTGCGGTGCGTCTGTGGCAGGGTGTTTGTTTGGGTTGGGGCCGGTGAGAGGTGAGCAGCGGGGCGGGAGGGCCGTGCCGAGGAGTTTGGGCTTGTCCCCAAGGGCAGCGAGCGGACCCTGGCGGCTTCTCACGGGGAGAGACCGAGTTCGCGCCTCGGGAGGGTCGCCCCAAAGCTCGTGGACGCGGACAGCGGGGCGGTGGTTGCCCGGGCGGAGCGGGCCTGCCCACGGATTTCGTGCCGCAGACACGCACGCGTGAAACCGGTACGGCCCTGTCAGCCCGGGCCTCTGCGGTCAGGGAGCAGGAGCTCAGAAGAAGCGGTCGCTCCAGGGGCCGCGGGGAAAACGGCCGGAGCGAGGGGGGAGCGGGGCCAGACGGAGCCGTGCGGCCGCGCAGGCGGAGGGGGCGGCCTGGACGGGCAGCGGGAACATGGGCTCGAGCTGTGTGAGGAGGAAAGTAGCCGCCGGGACCTGAGGGACGAAAAAGGAGCGCGGGACGCGCGTGCGCTGCCCCCGGGGCCTTTCTCCGCAGCCCGTCCGCTGCCCGCTCCGCCCGCCCTCTGCTCTGCGACGGGCCGCGATCCTCGCGGGCCGGGCCCTCACCGCCGCTGTGCTCCGGCGCACTGGACCTCGGCCCCCTTCCCACCCCGGGCCGGCCCCACTCGGGGCGCTCGCGAGGGGACGCGGCCCGGCCCGCGGGTGCGCGCAGCGGCGGTGCCGGCCCCTCACGGCCGCGGGGAGGAGGAGGGTGGGGTGGCGGCGGCCGTCCCCAAGCCCCCCGCGGTGGCCCGGAATCCGGGGAGCCCGGGAGCCCCGAGCTCCGACCTGACCGTCCAGGCCGCCGCAGGGGTGTGCGTCTCCGGCGGGGAGACGGCCGTGAATGAGCCCCGAGTCCAGTCCGCCGAACCCACGACCTCGGGCCCCCCGACCGGGGACGCGGGCTCCGAGCGCTCTCGCCCGGGGCGGGGGTGCCTGCGACGGGACGCCGGCGGCGGGGGGAGGGCGGGCCGTCTTGCGGGCGCGCGGACTTCCAGATGCGCGCGCGACACCGTGCGGAGCGTCGGGGGCCGAGCGGAGGAAGGACGCAGGGGTCCTGGGCGGCAGAGCGCGAGCAGCTCGGGGGAGAGACCGGGACCCGCCCCCTCAGGACCCCGTCTCCCCCTCAGAACCCCGTCTCCCCTCAGAACCTCGTCTCCCCTCAGAACCCCGTCTCCCATCCGGACCCCGTCTCCCCTCAGGACCCCGTCTCCCCTCAGAACCCCGTCTCCCCTCAGAACCCCGTCTCCCATCCGGACCCCGTCTCCCCTCAGAACCCCGTCTCCCCCTCAGAACCCCGTCTCCCCTCAGAACCCCGTCTCCCCCTCAGAACCCCGTCTCCCCTCAGAACCCCGTCTCCCCTCATGACCCGTCTCCCCTCAGGACCCCGTCTCCCCTCGGGACCCCGTCTCCCCTCAGAACCCCGTCTCCCCTCAGGACCCGTCTCCCCTCAGAACCCCGTCTCCCCTCGGGACCCCGTCTCCTCTCATGACCCGTCTCCCCTCAGAACCCCGTCTCCCCTCAGGACCCCGTCTCCCCTCAGAACCTCGTCTCCCCTCGGGACCCCGTCTCCCCTCGGGACCCCGTCTCCCCTCGGGACCCGTCTCCCCTCGGAACCCGCCCCCATTTCCTCTTTCTCTTGTCCCCCTCCTCCCGCTGCCCCTTTGCCGCCTTTGTTCACCCGTGTCCACCGCGGTACGTCTAGCCTCCGCTCTGGGTCCTGAAGTGTCTGAAGCAGGCGTCTTCCCGCGCCGTCAAGGCCCCGCCCCGTTGGGCCGAGCTCAACACTCCAGCCCCGGTCCGGCACCGGGTCTCCCGCGTCCAGACCCAGCCTAATACTACCAACCGGTCTTCGCACCTCAGCCCCGCCTCCATTCAGGGCAGTGCGTCCACTGGGCTCCGCCCCGCCCCTTCAGGGCCGGCCCCTTGCCCGGCCCCGCCCACCAGGCCCCGCCCACCAGGCCCCGCCCACCAGGCCCCGCCCCAGCACTAGCTCCGCCCCCAAGCAGAGTCCCGTCCTGGAACTCGGCGGGGTCCCCAGGCTAGTAGTCTTGCCAGGTCCGGGCTCGCCCGGCGCCCTGCCCCCGTCTCCCCAGCCCAGCCTCTGGCCGCCTGAGTAGAACCCGGGTCTCCCTTACTACCCGCGGCACTGACGCACGCGCTGCGGACTGAGGGGTCCGAGGCCGGGGAGGCCGCGGGGGGTGGGCAGGCCCGGGAGGGACCCGGCGGAGGCGGAGACGGAGGCGGCTGCAGCCCAGGGAGGGAGGCCGGGCGAGGGAGGCGGTGTGGCCGACCTGCGCGAGGAGGGTGGGGGACCCGAGGGGCCGCTCTCAGGCCCCGGCCTGGGCCTCGGGAGAAGGACGAGCTGCCCCAGCCAGGCGCACGTGGGGGAGTGACTCAGTTCGGTGAAACTGTTGAAAACACTGCAAACTACATTTGCAGATCTAAAGCCTTTGCTTTCCTTTTTCACTTCAGTTGTAACAAACTTCGGACCCTAAATAATTCATACATATAAAATAAACATAAATGCAGTGAGTCTACAGTTATCTTTAACTTTCTGATACTGTACTAAATAAAACCCTGGAAGATTTCAACTCACAAATCTACATCAATTAAATATAAATTACAAAAAGGTTAAAACAGCCACTGATACATTAAGCACTGGAGTACAACGCTGTGGGACTGGAATCTCCTAAACAGAGGTGCGGCCCCTGGCCCCTGTTAGTTCAGAACACTCCTCACACCTGGGGTGCAGTGACCTCCAAACCCGTGTCCCTGTCTCCCAGCCAGAGATGGCTGCCCTGGAGATTCTCGTCAGTGACTCAGGCAGGTGGCAAACCCTGCGGACACTGTGTCTGTGCCTGAGGCAGCACCATGTTGGCACTGAGCGTTGGACACAGCCTGCAGTACCACCCAGCCATGCACTGAATTGGCCTCTGAGCCATTAATATGTCCGTCCTGTAACCCTAAATGCCTGTGACCCCAATGAATCCTCTTTTATATAACAATTTTACATAACAATTTGTGTTTTATATAACAATTTTATTGATCTAATTCACATACCACACACTTCACCTATTTAAAGTGTACAATTTTATGGTTTTTCATACATTCACAGATATGCACAAACCTTACAATGATTTTAGAACACTTTCATCAACCCCCAAAAGAAACCCAAGCAATCACTAATTTACTTTGTTTTTCTGAATTTGCCTATCCTGGACATTCTATGTAAATGAAATAATATATATGTGGTTCTGTGCCTGGCTTCTTTCATTTAGCACAATGTTTTCAAGGTTTATCCATGTCATAGCATGAATCTGTACTTCTAGGTGGCATTAGGGTTTTTTATGGATGAAGATTATGCTGCTAATGGACACAGCACATTTTGTTTGTCCATTCTTCTTTTGTTTGCTCCTTCTGGCTATTATGAATAACACTACCATAAACATTCATGTGCAGTTTTTTGTGTAAATATGTTTTCATTTCTCTTGGGCTGATATCGAGGAGTGGAATTGCTGGGTCATGTGGTAACTACGTTTAACTGTGTGAGAAATTGCCAGTTGTTTTCTCAAAGTGGCTGCCCTAGCTTACATTCCCATCAGCAATGTATGAGCGTTTCAGTTTCTCTATTCTGGCCAACACTTCTTACCTGACTTTTTGATTATACACGTTCTAGGGGATGGTAACTACTCTCTCGTTGTTTTGATTTGCAACTCTCTGATGACTAATGATGCTGAGCGTCTTTTCATGTGCTCATTGAGCATTTGTATATTGTCTTTGAGAAATATCTGTTCAGATCCTTTGCTGATTTTTAAAAAATATTTTATTTATTAATTTTTAGAGAGAGGGGAAGGGAAGGAGAAAGAGAAGGAGAGAAAGAGATGTGTGGTTGCTTCTCACGCACCCCCTGCTAGGGGCACAACTTGGGTCACAACCCAGGCACGTGACCTGACTGGGAATCAAACCAGAGACCCTTTGGTTCACAGGCTAGTGCTCAATCCACTGAGCCACACCAGCCAGGGCTCTTTGCTGATTTTTCAACTGGGCTATTTGTTTTTTTATTATCGAGCTGTAAGAGTTTTTTATATTTTCTGGATACAAGTCCTTTATCAAATATATGACTTGCAAATATTTTCTCCCACTCTGTGGGTTGTCTCTTCATAATGTCCTTTGGAAGAGAGAAGCCTTTGATTTTGATTAAATACAATTTACCTGTTGTTGCTCAGGCTTTCGGTATCATATCTAAGAGTCTATTGCCTAATCCAAGGTCATGGGGGTTTCCTGCTATGTCTTCCTCTATATCTTCCTAGCACTGTATAGTTTTAGCTCCTGTGCCTGCATGCACTGTTCACAGGTAGGCAGGGGCCTCACACAGGGCCAGGTACACCTTTAGCACCACGTGAAGCTTCACACCTGTTCTAGCTCTGGCTTCCCTGAGGGTCCCCCACCTGCAAGGACAGAAGTCAGGGGCCCACTACCCGCCAGCAGACCACCTGGGAGTGCAGGCGCCAGGAGACTCCTCTCCTCAATAAGAGGTCAGCAGCTCCTGCTGTGAGCACAGTTCAGGGGTGGGCAGCCATGGAAGGTCCCCGCAGCTGGGGTGCAGGTGTTTAGAGAAGAGAGCCTGGGAGGAGTGAGGCTCCCCCAGGGGGGCCGGCCCCTGGTCTGGGATCCCACCTGAGAAGTGAGGCTCGGAGAGGTTGGTCAGCTCCTCAGAGGCAGATGGGCACCTTGGTCCAGGCCCTGCCACAGTGGGGACAGAGCCCTCTCCCCCAGGGGCCCATCGGGGTCTCAGTGCTTTCTCTGTGTCCCCCAGGTGTCTTCCTGACCCCACCCCTGGCTGCAGCAAATGAACCTGTCCTGGAAGAAGTGGGGGTTATGGCTCTGGCATCCCTGGCGGACATGCTAAACGGCCCACAGCCCAACCCCTCCACAGGCCCCATCATGAGCCCCATGACAGGCCCTTTCAACACACTGCTGGCCTCCCCAGGGCCCATAACACAGAACAGCGCACTTGCCAGCCTCCTGGCTGCCCCCATGAACAGCCACCTAGCCAGCCCCATGGCAATGCCCGCAGCGGGCACACTAGTCAGCTCTCTGGGCCTGCCCTCAACTGGACCCCTGACTCCAAGCAGCCAGCTGCCTGGCTCCATGCCGGTGTCCCCAGCGGGCACATTGGGAAGCTCCATGGGCACTGTCTCCACCGGCCCCCTGACTCCAAGCACATTGGGAAGCTCCATGGGCACTGTCTCCACCGGCCCCCTGACTCCAAGCACATTGGGAAGCTCCATGGGCACTGTCTCCACCGGCCCCCTGACTCCAAGCACATTGGGAACCTCCATGGGCACTGTCTCCACCGGCCCCCTGACTCCAAGCACATTGGGAACCTCCATGGGCACTGTTTCCACCGGCCCCCTGACTCCAAGCAGCCAGCTGCCTGGCTCCATGGCAGTGTCCCCAGCGGGCACGTTGGCCAGCTCCATGGGCCTTCCTTCCACCGGCCCCCTGACTCCAAGCAGCCAGCTGCCTGGCTCCGTGGCAGTGTCCCCAGCGGGCACGTTGGCCAGCTCCATGGGCCTTCCTTCCACCGGCCCCCTGACTCTAAGCAACCAGCTGCCTGGCTCCGTGGCAGTGTCCCCAGCGGGCACGTTGGCCAGCTCCATGGGCCTTCCTTCTACCGGCCCCCTGACTCCAAGCAGCCAGCTGCCTGGCTCTGTGGCAGTGTCCCCAGCGGGCACGTTGGCCAGCTCCATGGGCCTTCCTTCCACCGGCCCCCTGACTCCAAGCAGCCAGCTGCCTGGCTCTGTGGCAGTGTCCCCAGTGGGCACGTTGGCCAGCTCCATGGGCCTTCCTTCCACCGGCCCCCTGACTCTAAGCAACCCCTTGGCAGGCCCCCCACCCCTGTCTCTGAGCAGCCCCCTGCTCACCTCCACAGCTGCCCCTCCAGGTGTTTCTCAGAACCTTCTGGCCAACCCCACGGGTAACGTGGTGCTGTCTGAGGCCCCAAGGGTGCGGCTGTCAGAGCCACTCTACGAACACCCCTCCGGACCCCGTCCTTCCGCTGGTGTGGGGCCCGCTGCCACCTCCAAAGGTAACTGGTGTGGAGGGAGGAGCCCCCTGCCAGGCCAGCCCCTGGTCCTGCCTTGCCCTTATCCTCCTCCCCTCCTCTCTGCCTCACCTTGTCACCAGTCCCACTCTCCACCGAGCATCCCCTGCTGATCCGGGACCCCGAGCCCCTCAGTGTGACGTTCGTGGGTGAGCCCATCCAGACCTCCACCCCTGTCAGCACCGTGGGCAAGCCCGACTCCACGACAGCCTTCTCCTACGGCACCGCAGGTGCCCGAACTCAGCTGGGCACTTCCCAGGGACAAGCAGCTCCTGTCCCTGTCCCCACTGCCCCAACTGCTTCCCCTGCCGTCTCAGTCCTCTCTTCTGCCCCTGCTCCTGTCCCCCAAGCTGCCACCAACTACAGCCCCGAAAGGACCACACACTCCCCCAACCGACCCTCCCCAACCCCCCACTCCCCTCCACGCAACCCCCACTCCCCACCCCGAACCTCATCCTCCCCGGCTTCTGTCAACAACACCCGGGGCCCACGTGTCCCCGAAGCGTCTCGGAAAAGCGCCCTGGACTTGGAGCGGAAGCTGGCCCACCGCAAGACCACCAAGTACCCTGAAATCCCCCGAGGTCAGTGCTATCATGGGGTTCACTCCGGTCCAGGGGGCACCCTGCTGCCCTCAGAGACCCCCAAGGCACCAGCTGCTGACCACAGCTGCTGCCTACTCCCTCCACCTCTTGCTGTCCCCAGAGTCAAAGCAGCTGGCCTGGGAGAGGTTGGTGGGAGAGATCGCCTTCCAGCTGGACCGAAGGATCCTCTCCAGCATCTTTCCTGAGCGGGTGCGCCTCTATGGCTTCACTGTCTCAAACATTCCCGAGAAGATCATCCAGGTGTGTGGTGTCTGCCTCCCACTCACAGCCGGAGGGCCTGCAGGGGCACCTGGCAGGAATGGGAGGCATGCTGGCTCTTGGGGGGCTGCTGGAGGGTCCCTGTGATCCAGCCAGATGAGCGAGGTGGAACCCAGGTGCACCTGGGGATGGAGGAAGCACTGTGCTCAGTCCAAGTGGCCAGCAGTGTCCAGGTCGTCTAACCTCGAGAACCTGTGGTCCCAGCCCCAGCCAGGGCAGAGGGGGTGCGGGCAAAGTCAAGTGTGTACCCCCCCCCCGCCACTGCAGTGGCCTCCAGGGCCCCTCCCCAGACTGGAGGGGTCCTCCCTGGGGAAAGAGCCCTCTGCGCTCCTGGCCACCTCCTCTGGGCTGCCTGTGCACGCGTGGCCTGGGTGTGCGGTTGGGCAGGAGCGATGCTGGCTATGGTGAGTTCGTCCACGACCAGGCTTCAGCTGGTGAAGTTGCATTTTGTGAAGGTGCCTTTGGTCTTGGGTTTTAATGTGGTCAGGATTACCCGCCGCTTCCTTTATTTCTTGTGCTTTCTATGTCTTGCTTAAGCCTGGAGGATGGGGGCCAAGATGGGCTGTCAGCCCCTTCTCCCAGTCCCCTGCACAGGTTGGGGGCATCCCTGGGCCCCCGCTGTCCTCCTCCCAGACGGGTGACAAAACCTAGGCATCTCTCTTCTTCCACACCGTCTCGGCTCCTCTTGGCTGTCACGTATTCAATGTGGAATTTAGGGTTAGTCCTTCAAGTTCCAGGAACTAATTTCACATTGGTTTATGGACAAAAGGGGGGAAGTTGCACATCTTTACCGTGAAGGTTATTTCTACACACCCGTTGTTTCTGCTGCTCGTGTCACGGGGCCGCCTTGGTCACGTGTGGTGTGGCCACACTTGACTCTTGTCCAGGACCCCTGAAGCCACTGCTGGGTCATGAGCGCCATGGCTGTTTACAAAGCGGGGAACGATGTGGTAGAAGCACAATATGTATGTCTCTAAGACTCTGTGTGTGATATCTGGTTGCAAAGACACATTTGTCTATAAGCACAGTCTAGTTGTCCAATAGTAGGCACTGACATCTCTGTGTGAAGAGACTTCCTATTGTTTGAAAATGCCCGATTAAGCAGAAGAAGTAGGAGCACATCGCCCTTCAGTGGGGGACTGGGCTGTGCGAACCCTGCGTTCCCAGGCTCCTCTGAGAGCTACTGCCTGTGCCGCAGAGTGTAAGGCAGGCGCGAAGGGGCAGCTCTTTGGACGGGAGCAGCAGCAAGACGAGAGCGGAGTGTGTGTAAGGCAATGTTTTCTCTTCTGGAGTTTGAGGATGTCAAGGAGCTCAGCAGCCTCTGAGCCAGTGCCTCCGCCACCATGTTGGCGGCTCCTGGGGAACCTCTGGCCTCGCTCACCTTCCATCAGCAATGACCGGCACTGCCGGGATCAAGTGCTTGTGCCCGCACTCCCAAGAGGCGGCTCCACTGGAGCCCATGTGCACAGAAGCTGCCTCGGGGACCCGTGTGGACAGCACCCCGGCTGGTGACTCCCGCAGTGGGGTGGCATCAGAGCATCATAAACATGCATCCTGGCCTCAAGGCCACCCTGCCTGCTTGGCTGGACCATTTGTTGTTCCGATCTGCCTCCGATTCCACTCTGCCCGGCCTCTCGTTTCCGTTCAGCACAGCATCTCGCTTGCTTCTCCACACGCCACCCCCCAGGGCTTGTGATCATGGGATTCTTAAACTGCATGCAGACTCTCGGACCCTGGCCAGGCCTGGCCCCGTCCAGGCCAGAGCTGTTGGCTTCGTCAGCACTGCAAGCTTTAGTAGAGTCCTATTTTCAGTGAGGACACCCTGACTTTTTTTTTTAACTTTACTTGTTTTTCTTTTTTTATTGAATTTCTTAGGCTGGCATTGGTTAACAAAGTTATGTAGGTGTCAGATGTACAATTCTATAACACATCATCTATATGTGATATTGTGTGTTCACCACTCCAGGCCTCCTTCCATCACTGCTTATCCCCCCACACCCTCTTCTGCCTCCCCCCCACCCAGGACTCACCGACTTCGACCACTGAACCCAGCCATCATTTAGTATAAGTTTGCAGACAATTATGCCACCTTTTAAGCCCAACTGAGAGTTGGCCCAGTGCTCATGCCAGTCAGCTCTTCTCCCCACTTGCAAAGACCTGCTCTATGAGGACACTCCGACGCCTTCCTTCCGACACCCTACCCCTTCCGGGGGGGCCCGAGTCCAGCTGCACCAGACAATCACGTGATTTCTCTGCAGACAATCACGTCGGGCAGTGTTTAAGAGAGGCGTGTGACACGGCCACCGCATCCTGTTTCTGACTGGACTAGGGACACACACTCCTAGTCTTCCTGTTGAGAACGGTGTGTGCTCCCGGCTTTTTGCTGGATCAGTCTGTTCTCAGCCGCAGAAAACAGAATCCACTCGAGCCGATGGAAGCAGAAAGGGGTTTTATTGTAAGTGTTTGCATGGCCCAGAGGCTCCAGGAAGGATAGAAAATTGGGCTTTTTTGCTTTACGGCCAGTAAACATGCCAGTACACCAGGGGCTTTCCTAGTGGACACGGCACGGCAGAAACCAGGTCACAGGCGAGTCTGAAAAAGGGGGTTTTAGCCTCCAGCCTCTGAGAGTTCAAGAAAGCACTAGGACAGGAGCCGGATGAGCGAGGCTCAGTATCTGCCACACCAGGTGAAGAAATTCCCCCTTCCTGATTTGTTGAGAATTCTTGTTTTTTTTCTTAATCATGAGCACGTACTGAATTTTTTAGAATGTTTTTCTGTCTCTGATGAGACGATCACATGACTTCCCCCCTCCCCTGTTTCTCATAACACACGGAGACGCTACGGAAGATACTCCGATCACGAACCACATCCATCCCTGGTGGTTTTTATTGCACGGGGATTCTGTTCGCTGTTATTTATGACTTCTGGCTTCGCTGTTTTTTGGAGACCTCCGCCAAGCTGCGGCGGCGTAAACGTGAGACTCGACAAGTCGGGCGTTTCTTTGTCCACGGGGTCGCCGGGCCCTGATTCCAACCCCTCGGCCCCGGTCAGGAAATGGGAAGGTCCGGGAACTTGGCCCAGGGGGCGGAGCTGGACCGAGAGGGCGGAGCTCACAGCCCTAGTCTTGTTCCATTGGCTCTAATTCAGTGACGTCACAGCTCGCTGCCGAATGGTGGCCTCGCAGTCTCCGCGAGGAGTTTCTTTACGTAAGGGAAAGCGGGGACGCCTGTCCTCTTCCGAGGGCTGTGTCCGCTTTGCCCAGCGCTGTCTGGATGGTCCTCTCTAGTGGTCCTTTGGATTCTGTGTCCTCATTTCTGCTCTGTTACTTACTTCCCCTCCTGCTGCCTTCAGATTTGCTTTTTCTTCCTGGGGTTGAGCACTGAAATCCTTTTGTTTTAGGTGGCTTTTGTTTTTAAATAATGCTTTTAGGGCAGGGAGATATTCAAAATATTTAACAACTGGTACAACAGGAACACCAGCCAGAATGGGTGGTGAGACAGGTTCTGGGGCAGAGGGAGAGCGTTATGTTGTCCGGCGGCTGGTAGGGAACCCAGAGCGCAGCCCGGTGTGTCCTTTGTGTCTCCCGCCTGCCTTGGAGTCTCCCAGCAGGAGCGATGAGCACAGCCCTGGCCCTCCATCGCCAGACTCCGCCCGCTCCCCCTAGTGTGGTCAGCTTGGTCGTTGAAAACCACAAAACCCGCCAGGAGCTTCCACCCCTTCAGAACAGGGCCTCTCGCCTGTTCTCCGCTGCTCTGCCTGTTTCTCACTGCTTGGGGGCGGCCATGCCCACACGCCCTCAACCCAGAGGGCGTGTCCTACTCTTCCCCACAGCTCCCCACTGCACTCTCAGGAGATCACTTCCTTGGGGCAGCCGTGGCCTTGTCTCTCAGCCCACACTGCTCTCCTGGGGCCAGCACCCCATCAGGGTGGGCACAGTCTGCTCCCCGCTGAACTTCTGGCCACCTCTCAAGATCTGTGCACCAGGCCTGGTACAGCCCTCCCTGGACAGAGCATGCCGTGGGCCTTGTCCCTGCACAGGCCAAAGCTTAAAGCTGTCCACCCACAGTGCTCTGTGCCATCCTGGCTCAACATTCGCTTGCCTACCCTCCAGTTTGGCTGAGCTTCTGCAGTCCTTCCCACTGAGGCTTGGGAACAGGCAAATTGGGGGAGAAGACCCAGGGGCCAAGAGAAGGCCAGAGTCAGGGAGATGGACCTGTCCTAGCACCAGCCGGGAAGTGAGAGACTGAGCATAGAGCTCTGGATGCACCTGCCAGAGGTCAGGGTTCACTTCAGCTGCGCCCAGCCATGAGCCCAGCACTCTGCTCACATGACCCTCTGGGAAGGGGAGGACAGGGTGGTCTTCCTGGAGGAGGTGATGCCTAAGCAGCTTGTCTGGGCATTCACATTAGGTTAGGAACCAGTTTGGCAGGCATCTAGTGAATGGCTGGAAGGCAGCAAGCAGGACCAGAGCAGAACCTTGCAGGTCTGCCCTGGCTCCGAGAGCTGGAGCAGAGGGAACCACAGGAGAGCTCGGGCAGAGAGACACCCCAACCAACTAACACTTCAGACCCACAGTTCTGCATGCAGGGCCCTTCTGAGCCTGGTGCCCTGTGTGACCACCCAGGTCACATGTCTAGGAGGCCACAGCAGGAGAGGTGGAGAGAAGGGACTGAATTCGTGGTGCAAAGTTGTGTCACTGCCTGGCTAGTGTGGCAAAGGTGATGAAGAAGCAGGTGGGGACGACCCAGCCACTGTTAGTCCCCAGATCCAGGCACTGGGAGCAGGCACCCGAGAAACAGCACCACCCCCAGGGCTGAGAGACAGGGCTCAGCTGGCTCTGGCCTGGGGCGGTCGGGCCAGCACGAGGGGTGGGAAGCCAGTCTGGCAGGGTGTGTGCAGAGCGCAGAGGATGCAGGCTGAGGTACGAAGGAGGGGCCTAGCGGGAGGCTGAGAGGAAGCCTGGCAGGGAGCCAGGAGGAGGCCTGGGAAAGTCCCCAGGTGGTGTCGCCTGTGTCCTCAGGTGGTAACCCTGGGGGCATTAGGAGCTCCTTCCTCCTTATCCCTGCACCCTCAGGCTCCCAGCCATGCTCTCTACCTTCAGTTTCTTGTCCTCAGCTCAGTCCCTAATCCCTGGTGGTTGTGGAACAGGTGATGAGGCTTCTTCTGTCCATCACCTACCCGTGTCCCTTCCCTCTTCCCCCAGGCCTCTCTGAACCCCAGTAACCACAAGCTGGATGAGGAGCTGTGCCAGACGCTCACACAGCGCTACGTGAGCATCATGAACCGGCTTCACAGCCTGGGCTACAACGGGCGGGTGCACCCGGCGCTGACGGAGCAGCTGGTGAATGACTTCGGCATCCTGCGTGAGCGGCCTGAGCTGGCTGTGTCTGAGGGCGGCTCCTTCACCGTCGACTTCCTGCAGCGAGTGCTGGTGGAGACCGTGCACCCCAGCATGCTTAGCGACGCGCTGCTGCTGCTCTCCTGCCTCAACCAGTTGGCACACGACGATGGCAAGCCCATGTTCATCTGGTGACTTACGTCTGCCCTGCCAGCCTCGCCTCGCTCTGCCCCACTCCCCGGGGCACGGACATTAAAGCTTCCCACATATGCTGGCTGCTGGGCCCGCTCGCACTCCTGGCTGCGCTGCCTCCTTGGGTGGCTCCCGGTGCCCTCTCCCCTGCGCCCTGTCCTGGGGCAGCTGTCTGGCCAAGGGGATGTTTCAAAGGCCCCAAGACTCCCCTTGCCTGGCAGTGGGAGAAGCAGGAGCCCTCAAAGCTTAAAGGGAAAGAGCAAGAAGCAGGATGGAGCTGAGCTTGCGGGAGGGGGGAACTCTTGACACTGGTGACAGGCACAGAGCAAAGTGGAAGGTAGATTGGGTGCATGAGACAAGGGTGTGTGTGTGAGAGTTCCTTTCTTTGGACTAGGCACCGGTGAAGGGGGGATCCCAGACCCTCAGAAGGGGCAGGGGGACTTTAGAGGGAGGGGAGCCAAGAGAAAGCTTCGCTGAGACCTGGGCAAGGGGAGGCCAGGGGGATGGGGCCTCTTCACAAGGCATCAGTGGCCCGGGAAGCAGAGGTGACTCCTCAGGGTGCAAAGACCAGGCCCTACTTGCTGCAGGGGTGGAGCCTAGGGGCACAGGCAACGTGGTAAAGCAGAACACAGCTGGCAAGAAGTGGAGGGCGGCAGATAGGACGAGTCACCAGGAAGTAACCTGTAGATTCTGAGAGGGGAGGGCTTGCGGATGGTGCAGGAGCTAGAGGGTGTAGGCCCCTTCAGGACAGGGCCTCTCCTCCCTGGGAGGACGTGCATGAGGACAGAAGGACTGTGGGAAGGCCCTCTGGGGCCTGAGGCCGGGCAGGAGGATGTAGCTGCGATGTGAGAGGGAAGACCCAGCATCTGGGTTTAAACAGGAACCGTGTCAGCCACCAGGGAGGGGTACAGGAAAGAAGACGGTTTGGGGGCGGGGGCTACCGCCCCGCCCTCCCCACTCCCAGGCCTGCTACTTCAGGGGACCCAGCCAGACCCCTGGGAAAGGGCAGAGGGTTAGAGACCTGTGTGGGTATAACCAAGCCTCCATGAATACGCCCAGCCCCAGACCTTAACTTCCAAAAAGGATCGAGGGAGATTCCTTGGAAAATTGGGATGGTGGCTTACGCCCACCACCTCCCTGCCAGTCCCGGAGAAAGGCGATATGAGAACCCGCAGCGGTGGGAACTGTAGGGACTGGTTCAGAGCTCCAGTTAGAAAGGCGGGGGCGGGCACCGTGGGAGGGAGCAGGAGGCAGCTGTCTGGCAACCACCCCAGTGAGTGCGAGTGGGCTCAGCAGAAACGGAGCTGGCTTCCACTTTGCTCCGGTGCCTCGAGGGGCGTGGCCGCGAGGGTGGAGCCAGTGGTCCCTCCCCCCGCCCCCCCAGATCGGGAGCTCCCGGGGCAGGGACACAGACCTATCACTGTTGTAGGGAGACCGTTCCTCATCTGGGGACCTGTCTTTTGACTCAAGGGCTGGACGTCACGCCTCTGGGGAGATAGTGGGGGTGGGGTATATCCCGAAGTCTGGCCGCAGGGGCGCCAGGGTAATTCCACGCGGACGTGCAGGGGGCGGGAGGAAGCGGAACGCAGCCCTCACCGAACGTCCCTCACGAGCGGTGCGCCCGCCCGCACTAAAAAGGGTCGCCCTCCGCTTTGTGCCGGTTACGCCCTAGTCCCCACTCCAGTCAGAAGGGTCTGGGGGTTCTCCCTGCGGCCAGCAAGGGAGGGCGGGGCGAGGCGAGGAGGATCTAGGGCGGGACCGCGAGGCCAGTGTCTCTTCCGCTTTCCTTTTGTTCTCTTCAACCGCCGACCAGATTTCACGCGGGTGAGAGGGCGGTTTCCCGGACACATCACCCCCTGCGCCCGTGCCCCCAGGCTCACGGGTACCTTCCTGCGTTAGCGCACAGATTGCGCCACGTGGCCTTGACCCCTCTGGCTCGCCACCAGCTCCGGCGGACGCTCCCGCAAGTCAATTTGCACGGTGGAAGCGAATGAGTTGCGGGGGTGCCCCGCGGCAGAAGAACCCTGCGCGCCATGCAGTCTCCGCTGGACTGGCCCCCGGTGCCTGGCGCCTTCAGGCCCTCGCCCTTCCCGAACCCTGTGCTGCATGCCCTCCACGGTCTGGCCCGCGCGCTGCTTTTCCCGGCTTACTGGGCCCTGGACCAGCTGCTGGGCTGCTGGGCGCCGATTGCGCGCCCCAGCTGCCTAAAGTGGCTGAGAGCAGCCGCGGGAGCCGGAGCGGCGCTCCTGCTGCTAATGCTCATTGGCCTGCCTTTGGCCCTGCCCGGCCTGCTGCTCTGGCTGCCGCTGCAGGCCTGGCGCCGCCCCTTCTGCTACCAGCCCCCTCCGCAATGCTGGGCGCCTCCCGCACCCTGGCGCCCCCCAGCTGAGCCCGTGCGCTGCTTCAGCTTTCTCAGCGCCAACGTGTGCCTGCTCCCCGACGGGCTAGCACGCTTCAGCAACTTGCCGCACACCCAGCGGCGAGCCGAAGCCGTGGGCGCTGTGCTACTCGCCGGCCTGCGGCCCTTGCGCTATGGGACTATGGACTGCAGTCCGCCAGGGACTGGGGCGCCCGGCGGGGTGCTGATAGCCACGGTACCGGCGGGCCTGGACTTCGTGTGCCTGCAGGAGGTGTTCGATCTGCGCGCGGCGCGCAGCCTGGTGAGCCGCCTGGCGCCCAATCTGGGCCCAGTGTTATACGATGTGGGTACGTTCGGCCTGCAGCCCGGGCCGCACCTCAAGCTGCTGGGCAGCGGGCTGCTGCTCGCATCCCGCTACCCGCTGCTGCGCGCCGCCTTCCGGTCCTTCCCCGATGCTCGTCGCGAGGACGCGCTGGCCTCTAAGGGACTTCTTTCTGCACAGGTAACCGCCCACAGGCAGCGGCGCTCCCGGCCGGGGAGGAGGGGGGCGTGGTGTCGAAGGGGCGAGGGTTGTTGGGGCTGTCCGTGGTGTTGCAGGCGCAAGTGGGCATTCTGGACGGGCGCCGCATCGTGGGCTTCCTGCACTGCACGCACTTGCATGCGCCAATTGGTGAGCCCTACAGGTGTGGGCACGTGTGCAGACCGATCCGCCTCTCTGCGTGCGGGCGGATCTCCCTCCCCCGCCGTTTTTTTCACTGCCCCGGATACCGCGAGTTCCTGAGTGCCTGGGTGGGCCCACAGATGACCCGGAATGGCGGGGTGGGGGGCGGGCTCTGATGTGTTCCGGATTGGAAATGACTCTGGGCTGAGCCTTCTTCCACCACCACCCCGACTCCCTCAGAGGACGGGTCCCTGCGCTGCAAACAGCTGACGCTGCTGCTGGACTGGGCCGAGCAGTTTGAGGCTGAGAGCCGACACACTGATGAAGTCGTGGCCTTTAGCGTGCTCCTGGGTGACCTGAACTTTGACAACTGCTCGCTAAGTGAGGGGAGGCTGCAGTGGGGCGGGGCGGGGCGGGGCGAGCGGGCGGCCTGGCCCCGCCCACCTAATGCTGGCCTTCTCTGCAGACCAGGCACTGGAGCAGGAGCACCAGCTTTTCAGCCTCTTCCGGGACCCCTGCCGGCTGGGCACGCGCCAGGAGCAGCCGTGGGCCCTGGGTACGGCGCCCAGGCTGGGGGCGGCCCTAGGGAGGGCGCCACTGCTGGCGCTCCCGCTAACGGAGTCCACTCCCGCCCTCCCTCAGGAACGCTATTGAGCACTTCCAGGCTCCACCACTCGGTGGCCTGCTCCCCGGAGATGCTGCGGAGGTGAGCGGCCACCTGGGGGCCAGGTACCGCCCGGAACTGAGGGGTGCCCTGGCCTTGATGACACCGTCCCCCCCCCCCCACCCAGGGCTCTGGAGAAGGAGGAAGGGCGCCACCACTTCCTGGCAGGCCCTTGCCACGGAAGCCCCCGGGCTGAGCCCTGGCGCGGCCGGCGCCTGGACTACATCACCTACCGGGAAGCGCCGGGAGGCCTGCTGAGTCCAGTAAGTGCCAAAGCTCGGGGCGCTGGGCAGGTTGGTGCTGGGACCACCCCCTTAACCTGACTGCCGCCCCCCAGGAAGTAGAACAGGTGACATTCAGCACCGCCCTGGCGGGGCTCACAGACCACCTGGCCGTGGGACTTCGGCTCCGGATTTCGATGCCCTCGTGAGGCAGGCACGCCGGCGACGGCGACGAGGCTGGGTTGAAAGACGGGCAAGGAGGCAAAGTGTGAGCCCGGCGGGTCGCAGCGGGAGCAGGACGGCTGAATGGGTCTTTATTGTGCGCGCCCGCCCTCACACAGCCTCCTGGGCCCTGCGGTAGTCGTAGACGCTGCCTCGCTCGGAGAAGGCTGGGGGCTGCGGGGACGACACGGGAGGGGAGGCGGGGTCCTCGGGGTCCCCGTAGCCCCCGCCGCCGGGTGTGTGGAGGCAGAACACGTCCTGTGGAGCAGAGGGGCAGGCTCAGCATAGGCACGGCCCCCACCTACCTCCCGCTGCAGTCCCATCCCCACCGCAGCGCGTCCACAACGCTGGCCTGACCCGTTGAGCCTGGTTTGCCGCCCCCTTTCCTTCGGGAGCCAAATTAAACGGAGTCTCTGGTTATTTTGCAACTCTGTTCCCCTTCTGTGCGATGAGAGCTGCCGGGGGATGGAGGTGGGACGGGACAGATGACCATCCTTACCCCAGGGTACACGGTTACCGACGTCTTCCCGCCCAAATTCACCGTCCGCCCGTCCTTCCGGATCAGTAGGTTTAGGCCACGGGCACCAGGCTCACCCCCTGCAGTAAAGGGCAAGACGCGGGGTGGCCCAGGAGGCAGGGAAGAGAGAGGCATGGAGGGTTTGGTAAGGAGATGGGGGGGGGGGGCGTAACCCGGAGGGAGGGAGAAGATGGAGGGGAAACGCGCTGGGCTAGGGTGAGGGAGAGAGACTGGGCCGGTGGAAGGGGATCGAGGGAGGTGCTCACCGTGGAGGCCGTAGGGCCGGAAGGCGCGGCGTTCGGTCAGTACGGACAGCAGCGCCTCCTCGCGGAACATCAGCTCACGGACGACACCATCGCCGCCTCGGTAGCGGCCGCGGCCCCCCGACCCCGGCCTCAGCTCGAATCGGCGCAGGATGACTGGGTACCTGCGCAGACCAATGGCTCCGCACAGCCGCCCCGGCTCCGCCCCCGGCTGGCTGCCCCGCCCCGCCCAGCTCCCGAGCCCCGCCCACCCCTCGCACCTGCTCTCCAGAATCTCCGGATCCGTGATGCGCGTGTTGGTCATGTGGCTGTGCACGCCGCTGCGCCCGTGCCAGCCGGGGCCCGCGCCTGCACCGCCCGCCACCGTCTCGTAGTAGCCCATGTGGGCGTTGCCCAAGGTCACATTGTTCATGCAACCCTGGCAGAGACAAGCGATCACTGCGAGCCCAGCCAGGGCAGCATCCACTCCCTGAGCGCCCCAGCCCGCAGCCCTCCCCACCCCCCACCCCCAGCAAACCCTGGAGGCGGCCACCCGCCTGCCGCACCTGGGAGGCAGCGCAGGCTCCGAAGGCGCCCAGGATGACGTCCACCACGCGCTGCGACGTGAGCACGTTGCCGCCCACCACGGCCGCCTCTGGAGACGGGTCCAGGATGGAGCCTTTAGGAATCACCACTTGAACTGGCGTCAGGCAGCCCTGTGCAGCCGGGGGCCAGCTCTCAGAGGCAGTTGGGAGAAACTCGTCCTCCCACAGCCAGCACCTCTAGGACCCTCAGTCCGTTACTGGGCTGCTGGGCTGACTTTGGCCCAGGCTCACTCCGAGTAACCTGGGGCTTGGGGTCGACCTGCTGACCTCACACGCAGGACTCGCCTGCGTACCTGGTTGAGCGGGATGTCTCGGCCCACCAGACAGCGCAGGCAGTAGATGAGGGAGGACAGCGTGATGGCCCGCGGTGCGTTGAGGTTGCCGAACACCTCTGGCCCAGTGCCGCTGAAGTCAAACACCGCACTGCCCTGCCCACCCAGAGGGGAGGTCATCAGCCCTGAGGCAGCCGCACCCCAGACATCCCATTCGCCCCCTCCCCCCACCCCAGTCCCGGTAGCCAGACCTGACTCAGGTTTATATGCACGCGAAGTCGGATGGGGGAGCCGTCATCCATGTGGTCCTCTGCAGACACCTCCAGAGGCAGGCCCCGGGCCTGCCGGGAGGTCCCAAAGGCCCGAAGCATGTCCCGGACAGCCAGCTCAGCGTTTGCCTGGAGGGGAGCGTGTGCCTGGAGAGGCAGCCATGCCGCCTTCTGGGTGGGCCAGGAGCCTCCCTCCCCTACCCGCCCGGCCGCCGGGCAGCTGGCACAGAGCCACCCCCATGCTCTTGCCCCGGGCCCACCTGAATATGGCCCATGTAGGCCTGCACCACGTCCAGACCGTACTGCCCGATCAGCTCCCCCACCAGCTGGATGCCCTTCTGGTTGGCTGCCACCTGGGCTCGGAGGTCCGACAGGTTGTCGTGCAGGTTCCGGGTGCCGCTGCAGCCGGGAATCTTGCCTGGGGCCCGCAGGGCCTCTGTGACCGCTGGATGCGTAGAGTCACCCCTAAGCCACTGTCCGGCCTGGGGGCTGCCTGCTCCACACCTGCTGTGCCTCTGCTGGGCACTGTGGGCCCCCCACGTTGGCCTGCACTGGCTCTGCACAGCCCCGCTGACTCCCTCCAGTGCCCTGAAGACCCACAGCTTCCTCCCAGCCGCCACACCTGCTCCTTCCCACACCTCAGCCGCCCCACAAACAGCCCAGGATGGGGCAGGCAGCGGGGCCAGAGAGGGCCGTGTGTGGCGGGCACATTTGTCCCTCGGCAAAGTCCCCTCCCTCCTTCATTTCCTCGTGTCCTGCCTCCCCACCTCCTGGACCCACTTTTTATAGGCTTTTTTCTGGGCCTCCCTCTCTGTCCCCAGGAGAAAAACCACTTCCCTTAACCGTCCCCCATTCACACTGCCCTCAGCCCTGCGGCCCCACTGGCTGGCCCACAAGCCAGCTGCTTTGAAAGACCATTAGTGTGGCCCTCTGTGCAGCGACCCCACCCCCCAGACCGGGGAGAAGACTCCAGCGTCCCCTCCAGCAGAGCAGGTCCCGGCCCAGGGGCCGTTCCTCACTTCGGGAAAGCCCCACTCAGGTGTAGGCCAAGGTCCCCTCTGAAGCTCCCTCTCTAGGTTCACTGGGTCCTCTGCCAGGTTCCTGTGCATGCCCCTCCCATGCCCCCTGCCCCCTGCCCTCACCCCAGATTGACCAAAGGAGCAGCCAGACCTAGGTCGCTCTATTCATGTCCTCGGCAGCCTGTGGCTCTACCACACCACCCTCCACCCTGCCCACACGACCTCCTCCGACTCTGGGGTGCCCCCTGGGCCCTCAGAGGCCGACAGCCTCAAGCCTGCCATGTATTTCCCGATGCCCCTCCCCCCCCAGGCCTCACTGCCTCTCTGTCCCACCTTCCCCGCAGCTGCTCTGGGCCCATCGGAGCCAGAGCCTCCGTCCTCCAGCCGCAGGTCCTCACCTGTTCCCCTCACCCCCGAGTCCCGTCAGCACCAACACTGACCTCCAAAACAGCTGTCTCCACCCCACCCTCGCTGCCCAGCTTGAGGCTCCGCATCACCCAGTGCAGACCAAGTACAGATTGTAAACACCTCAAAATAGGCTCCTCGCCATTCTGCACCCAGTCCCGTCAGTGTCCTGGCCACCTCCACAGCCCCAAACCACCGAGGCCTTCCTGGGCCCAGGCAGAACTCATCTTGGAGCCTCTGGTCATCTCCGAGAGGTGTCGCCCACCGGCCCCCCCAGCTTCAAGCCCGGCCCAGGCTGGCAGGCCGCACCCCAGGCCCACTGCCGCTCACCCTCTTCCTGGAAAACCCCTCCCTGGACGAGCTTGAAGGACAGAAAGACCGCACCCTCCTGCTGCAGTGCGGTGGAGTGCGGGGGCATGGAGCCCGGGGTGATGCCCCCGATGTCTGCGTGGTGCCCGCGGCTGGCCACGTAGAATACGGGCCGGGCCTGTCCTGGCCAAAACACCTAGGAGTGGAGGGCCACGGTCAGCCGCATGGCCTCCCTGGCCCCCAAGGTTCCCGGGCAGTGGCCCTCACCGGCGTGATGACGGTCAGGTCTGGCAGATGGCTGCCCCCTGCGCTGGGGTGGTTGCTCAGCAGCACGTCACCAGGGTGGAGGTCAGCGCCCAGGTGCCGGATCTGAGGCCGGGACACAGGGTGAGAGTGGGGAGGAGATGGGGGCGGAGGCGGGGCACACGCGCAGGGCAGGGAGAGGGGCCCGCCAGACCTGGAACTGCACGGTCTCCTGCATGGCGCCCAGGTGCACGGGGATGTGGGGGGCGTTGGAGACCAGCCCCCCGTCAGGGCCGAAGAGGGCGCAGGAGAAGTCCAGGCGCTCCTTGATGTTGGTGGAGATGGCCGTGCGCTGCAGGATGCGGCCCATCTGCTCTGGAGGCACAGAGTGACCAGGCACCGCTGGCCCCACCCCACCCCACCCACAGCTCGCCCTGGGTACGGAGAGCCAGGACCAACGAGAACCTGGGGCCCCACATCAGTCCGCCCTGCCAAGCGCAGAGAGAGCCTGGTGCCCCCAGCCCGATGCTGCTCAGATCGGTCCGCAGGCCGAAGGCAATCCCAGAGCACAGGGCTGCTGTAGGAGGAGGGCCGCGCTCTTCCCAAGGTCTGCTAGTGCAGGGGCCCGTGCCATTCCAGAGCCAGGGCCACAGTGCCTGCCTGTCGCCAGCCAAGATTCTGCTTCTGCCCCTTCCCCCAGGGGACACTCTCTGCGCCCACCTCTGCCCGGTAGGCAGAGCCTCCACCGGACACTGCAGGCAGCAGGGCCCAGGGCAGGCGGCGTCACTCACCAGCGATGCTCATGAAGCGGTGCGAGAAGATGGACAGGTGGATGGGGTCCAGCTGGGCACCCACCGTGCTGGGGGCCTCGGCCCCCACAGAGATGCGGATGTCCCCGGTCTCGGTCACCTCTGCCTGGCAGCCGGGCTCCACCAGAATGGTGCTGGGGGCAAGGCCAGACCACAGTCCCAACCAGGGCCCCCCCCCAGCCCCAGGCCAGGGCCCATCCCAGCCACGATGGGACCCCAGAGTCCCTCAGACTCCTGCAGCCTTGGGCCAGAACCCCCTGCCAGGGCCCCACAGCCCACTCGGGCTCCCGCACCTGTAGCCCCAGCCCACACCCCTCCATGGCCCCACGCGGCCGGGCCTCAGCC